GGCTCTGCCACTGGTTAACTGATATATCTGGTCTTATTAAAGCTTGTGTGCTTCAGTCCACAAAATCAAAAAGAGTAACAGAATTGTAATTAAGAGCATTATCATTCACCTTGTTTTCTTCCAGCTGATGGATTACATATCACCCCTGTTGATAGTTATGAAGAAATTGAAGATAAAATGGAAGAAGGAACTAGGAATCGAACTGTAGCTGCTACCAACATGAATGCTACCAGCAGGTTGGTGGTCCTTAAACTCTCAATATCAAATACTGGATAATATTCTAGACCAGAATCCTCTCTTCTGTGCATTGACTTCATTAACATTGCTCATTATGTTCTTCAGCAAAGCATGTTCATACTTCCTCTTTTCAAAACATGCGACGGTACTTCTCTTTGGAGGAGTCCACTTTACAACTTTTACTGTTGTTTTTTGCATGTTTTTGGCAAGGTTTTGATCAACGGAGTTGTCTTTCTTGTGTGGATTTTTATTCATGCGTCTGCCCTGATAAAATTTGCCTTTTTGCACATTGGATGGTATTGCCAATTTTTATCAGGGCAGGGCATAAAACAGATCATAGACCCATTTTGATTGCATTCATTTCATATACTGATGAAGGCTTTTATATCAGAAACATGAGTACCATTATGTGTAAAAACAGAATCAATCTTGTTAATTGTGGCATATAGCTCAGTCCAGGCCAGTAACCAGACTTGATTTGTTAGGAATGGGAAGTAATATATCAGAAGGGGGCCCCACGGGACAATGGTGTATGGTGTTTAGTTGCAGTAGTGGAATTGGTCAGTTGTAAGAATTTTTTCAGGAGGACAATCCATCCCACCTTGCAACCCTGTAGCTACGGGCCTGGCTCAGTTGAAGGTTTAAAGATGTTTTTGATGCATGTCGTTTTCTAATTTCAGTCGAGCTCACACTATTGTTGGTATGACGTTCATTCAAAAGTTTAAAAATTCGGCTGGTGAAGAAACAACTAAATCTGCTATAATTAATCTTGTAGATTTAGCTGGAAGGTAGGTTTTTATTTTAAATCACATCAGATTTTAATATAAAAAATATCAAGAAAAATCTTGGGAGATATCCAAATATATGACACAGTTTCTTCTCAGCAGGACTGGATCAGAAGCCCACATTATGTAGATTTAATATAACACTAACCTTTCAACAGTTAATATTAGACAAATTGTTAAGATTTTGGTTCAGAACAACTGTTCAAAACAATCCTTATTCTAGACGAAATATGAAAAAACCACTGCTTAGCATTTTATAGATGACCTAGTGCTGGCATTTAGACTATTTCCTACAAAACTCAAAGATTCTATATTATGATATTGTTTAATCCAGTGAACGTGCTGAAAGTACTGGAGCTACTGGTGATAGATTGAAAGAAGGAGCTGCTATTAACCAGTCTCTCTCTAGTTTGGGTAATGTCATCTCAGCTCTAGCTGATAGAAGTTCCGGTAAAAATACTAGAGGTAAGTAAATCAAACAGTCACAGAAATAGTAATACTCATGTCTAACACTTTGGGTATGAATTTTGTTCTGAGAGTACTGAGCCTGTTCCACTAAAACTCTTACTATAAGATTTTGTCGTAAGTGTAGAATTTTACTTTGAGAAATATCATATTTTTTGTCGAATGGGCCCAGATTAGCAACAATATGAACATCATTTGTGAAATGGCAAGTAGGGCTTTATGGGTGGATTACAAGAAGATTTTCATCCAGATTGAATGCACAGTTGAAATATTTTTACATGAGACACAGTTTCAGTAGATACGTTGTTAATATTTTTGGAAAGAAAATCATATTTCTAACTTTTTTTATTTCCAGTGCCTTTCAGAGATTCGTGCCTCACCAAGTTATTGAAGAATGCTTTGGGTGGAAACAGTAAAACTATTATGGTATGTACTGTTATTTGCAGGATTTGGGCCCCTTATTTACATGCATGAAATCAAATGAGGAAAAAATATAAAAAAAGTTAAAGAAGGTTTAGTAAGGAATTGTAGAAGTACTGAAAGAATGTCAATGAATGTATTATCCCATACCAATGGTCTTTGTTATTAAGTGGAATGGCAATTTAGGATCTGTATTGGTTGCTGTAAAGTTTATGCCTGAAAATATCGTCCAACCCAATTGAAATATCAAGGCATTGAAAGATCAGTGATTGTTTAACACATTATGTAATCTTCACTTGTTTTGACTTGTAAACTGGATACCTGCAAGTAGACAAGCTGTATTTCTATTTGTTTCTGATGGAGAGAATAATACTGAAACCAGACCTGTGAACAAACCAGTTTCATTATTCTGAGTGTATTATCTCCTGCCACTCTTTATGCGGTATTTAGATGCCAACACTCATATGTAAATAGCCAATTAATGCTTTATATTCAATAAATAGATTGCTGCTGTGAGTCCTGCTGATATCAACTATGATGAATCTCTTTCTACTCTCAGATACGGTAAGATCTTTTTGAATTAAATTCACATCTGAAGAAGATCCTTACAATATTATCAATTTATAGACACAATTTTTCTACATTTTCTATTTCTCATGTTATTTGGGACAATGACAATCTGATCCTTATCCTTTATCAAATATATCCCCTAAAAATTTGAGGTTTATGTGGACGGACCCAAAGAGATGCTGAGTTAAAATTGAGAAAGGGTCTGATATATGATCCCCGTCTCTATGTTTCAAATTCTTGTTATATTCGGATTTTAGCTGACAGAGCAAAACAGATCAAGACAACTGCTTGTGTTAATGAAGATCCAACAGAGAAATTAATTCGTGAACTACAAGAGGAAAATGAGAAATTAAAAGCTATGTTAGGAGGAAATGTTAAGATGGAGGTGATGCAAGATGATGATGAGGATTTAACTGATGAAGGTGAGGAAATATATACGTTTTACTTTAAAATGTTTTTTTTGTTGAATCAGATGTGACAAGCACTGTGAACAAATAAACAATCCTCTACTCTTGGGTTGATCATCTCGGACATACTGACTGCTTTCCTTCAAAGAAAAGTTTTTGATTAGTCGTTTGGCAGTCTTTCACAACAAGATTAGCACTGGATTCTAAATACTAACATTTTATTTGTTTTTCCGGCAGAACTGGCGGAATTAAGACAGGAAATGGAAGAAGAATACAAGAGTAGATTAGAAACTAATGCTAAAGAAATGGAAGAAATGGCTAAAACCTTTGAAGAGAGGTTGAAGGAGGCGCATGCTCATGGGGTAGGTATTTCAAATATACTTAACCAAACGATTTTCTGAATAGACTTAAACCTATAAGCTGAAGGGTCTTGATCTTTATGGTAGTGGGGGGTTTCTCATATGAAGCAGACTATGTTGACTCTTTTCAAAACACCTGATGATACTTCTTGTTTAAGGAGTCCATTGCTTTACATCTATTACTCCCATATTAGTGAATGGAATTGATTTTCTTGATCAAACTTTTATTGATTGTGAGTTGCACTGAGATAAGTCATGTATAGGATGTTACTAGCAAAGTGAAGGCAAGGCAAGCTCAGGCTTCCAGAACACAGAGTGCAATACAGTTTGTCCCTTTTGGAGAGTATATCAATGAAAGATGAATTCAGTATTGATATACAGTACCATCAAACCTTTTAATTTATATTTTTTTAACAGGGACAACATGTAGCTGAATTGATTGAAAAAAAGAAGAAAGTTGTCCATCTCTCAAATTTAAACATGGATCCTCAATTAACAGGTCATATTGTACTGTTCCTGGAGAAACCTGTAATATCAGTAGGAAATGGCAAGGGAATTGCGGATATTTCTATAAGGGGACCAAGGTAATATTAACATTATTACTTGACACATAGACTTCAGACTTCATTTAGGAAATTTTATGGTCGTTATAGCGAACTTCTGGACAAACATTACAATCTGTTTCTTGTATCTTGGCTGGTTTGTTTGTTCAGGCATATTGATCTATTATGCCTAGATAGTAGTGGTGGGTGTCACGCGCGAAGCAGACCATGCTTACTCTTTTCAAACACACTTCATTTTGGAGTAGTCCAATACTATAACATTTTTACACTTGATTTTTCCTCGCTTTGGACGAGATTTTGATTAACGGAATTGTCTTGCTTGTACGAATTTTTATTAACAAGAAGTCAGCAATGTCCTTTTTATATAATGTATCAATTTGTTTTATTCTTACAGTATTGTTGATAAACATGCTATCATTCGAGAAGAGAAAGGTGAATACAGTATAGAACCAGCAGAACCCAATGTCCGATTATTGAGAAATGGTAAACAGCTGGTCAGTAAAATAGGTCTGAAAAATAATGATCGTATTATTTTTGGTACGACTCAATACTTCATCTTTGTTAACCCTAAAGATCCCAAAGCTAAAGAGGCTGTTGAAATAACGTTTGAAATGGCTCAAGAAGAAATCGCCAAAAAATCTGGATTTGACGTCTCCTCGGAACATAAAACAAGAGGTAAATATGAGTCAATGCTCTAACTGAATGTTCTATAACACTGAGTCTCTGAGATGATGGTGTTAGTTTTATTTTGATTTTATATCAACTCTGTTATGATTGTATGATTGACAAGTCATAAGGAAGTTAAGATACAACTTAGATACAATAGGTATGAATACAATAGGTGGACTGCCAAAGGCATGCACCAGCACGGGATAACATGGCATTCGTAGGTAAAGTTAATCACTCAGAGTTTATATTGATTCAGACCACAAGTACAGTCGATAACATACAGTGATGTAACATACTCCATCTGTTGTTTCAGATGAAGCATTACTAAAGGAAGATATTGTGGAGATGATGCCAGCTGTAGAGGAAGCTAACTCAATCAGTGAAGAGCTTGATAAAAAGATGAAGTTTGAATTAATGGTTGTCTCCCCTGAGGCTAGAGGAGAGTTGAGGGGTCGTACAGAGGTAGGCTATATGGATAATTAAGTAAACCTTAAATGGAGGGAAAAGATTACGAGGCAAAGTAACCAGACGTCTTGAAATTTTCCAATTGTATACAATGTCATGGATCTTCTAAGGTTCTGTTTGGACTAAGGAAATCTAATTTGATAGCTTTCATTAAGGCAAAAATGCTCATTAATATATCTTTTAATTTACTTAAAGCTTTTTCCTTTTCCTTCTCTGGATTGTAGAAAATGATACCTGCAAGTAGTACTTAATAATTTACATTGTAATTATACTGATATGCTACATGGAAAAGACATCTAGTCGTTGGGATGGAACAATAAATCAAGGCCCTGTGTTCTACAGGCTGTGCATGTTAAAAATCCCTCGACAGTTCGAAATTGAAAAAGACTAGGCTGAAGCTGCTGTCCTAGCAAAAATTCCCTCATTGCACCCTGCATGGCATTACCTGTCTTCATTAGCACAATTAGGTGCAGAAAAGTAGGATGTAAATCCCCATTCATTTCATTTTTTAATCTTTAATATGTTACCTGTTTGAAAGATATGTATTCTATTTTATTCTATTCCATTAGGTAATGATGAGAGTTGTAAATTGTGTCATGATAAGTTATTATTTTGAAAGATATCTATTGTATTGTATATAACATGTTCTATTACTATATTAGGTGATGATTCGGGTAGTAAATGTAGAAACAAAACATGAATGGATTTGGTCACACGAGAAATTTATGAATCGTAAATATTTGATGCAAGAAATGTACCAGGATTTTCTAGAAGAAGGGTATGATGATTGGGACTTGCCTAAGGTGAGTTTAAAACTTCTAAAACAAAACAAAACACTCCAAAAATCACAAGTATTTTATCTGTTATATTTTTTCATTATTATGTTAAGCTACTTTTGTAAATTCTACTGATGAGAAAAGAAAGGAAATAGATGGAAAACAGAACATTTTGGATTCAAATTGATTCCCTTTTTTTATGACCAAAACCTGACAGAATTTTATTTTGATCTAGAGTAAGAGAGCTGTAAAGGTATATTCTTATTAAGATTGTGTATTGTAGTTCATTTCAGTAGCCATTTTATGTATAAACAAACAGCTGATTTCATTATCATTTTCGTCATTAGAAACAGTTTTAGAAACTAACAGTCTTGTAGGAATTTGAAATAGAAACTAACAGAAATTTTGTCTTTTTTGAGCAATTTTTGATGATTTTCTGTATTTAATCTTCACCAGGAGATAAACTTGTAGTATTTTCTTTCCTTATTACTTTTTGATCCCTTGAGTGTCAGCTAGAAATAATATTCATTTCTCTAACATTTTTACAATTTTACTTCATTTTATATGATCTTAATCATTATAGTTTTAGAAAATATTCTGACATTTCCTTTCTATAATAAATAAACCAAACAATGATATTAACTTTGTGATACAAATAAAAACTATGTTTTTACCTTGAATTGAAATGGGATTTTGTTTGAGATGTATGCCTTAAGACAGGTTATTATTTTGTTAATATGAGGTGAACAGAAGATTCCTTGTGATTCAAATTAAACAATTTAAAAAAAAAATGAAAAAAGAGTAGGTTTGTCAGGTTTTATGTCTCTCTTTATCAATATTCCAGTATTCAGACAGGTGTCTTATAATATATAATTTATACATTTTTAAATATTTCTTTTTTTTATCAACAGGATCGAGATCCATTTGCTGAAGATTATGATTCAGAGTTTCATATTGGTTCTGTTAAAATCTGGCTACAATCTCTCTCGTATCTTGTAAGTAGTTTATTTTATCTCTAGGGCCATTCCTACCTATTCTAATTAAAATAGGATTTTTGTCTCTTTTTAAATATAATGTAATGACCTTTGCTTGGTCAAAAATAATCTTCATTAGAACAGTACTTTGGAAGAAAACTTGTTAGATTACTCAGGAGACAGAAAAGAGCAGAAAATAGATGTTAATTTGAAAGAGATTGAAAATAACAGTTGCAAATTTAAAGCTCAATGTGAGAAATTCATTTTCTTGATGGTGATGCAATTAAAGCATTGAAAATTGAAAATAGCTGGTACCGCATATACAATGATAATCTTGATCAATCTTGCAGCATTGAAAATTGAGATTAGGCTTGGTGTTGATTTTGATAATCATTATCAACACCAACTGTATTAAATAGATCAAACTGTGTGTGAAAACATTGTGTTGAGTTTTATATGTCTTGTGAAGATTTTAACTGTAATAGATTGCAAGTCAGGTTACCTTCAAATAATATAAATTTATCATATTGTCTTAGATTGACATCAAAGAACAGTTAGATGTCACAGATTTCAAGGGACAAGAAGTTGGTCTACTCAATGTAAGTAATTGTTTTGGTTTATTTGACTTTTTCATAAAAATCTTTCCACAAGTTTTATAATATAACAAAGTCTTTGGGTTGCAATATCAGAATCAACTTAAAACAAATTTCCATGTCATTTCAGGATTGATATTTTATTTCATGAAAGCCTCTCATCAAATAGGTCAAAGTTTTATAATGAAAACTATTTTTATAAGTTGTCCCTACCCCACAAATCCCCGAGGTCAATCTATCAATGTCACAATAAGAGTTGTTATTTTCGTGATTGCAGGTAGAGGTGATACCGTGTGATAAAAAAGGTAAAGAATACTCAGAGGAAGATGATATGTTTGTTAACTCACCGGAGGAACTGTTGGGGAAGGATATTAATTTTGTGGTGAAGATTGACAGTGCTAGAGGATTACCTTCACAATTTACTGTAAGTATTCAACTTGATAAAATAAAATTTGATCTTCACTAAAAACCTACGATTTTGTGAGAAACAGGCTTTTGATTCCTATGAGCAATAGTAGAATTTTTTCTGCTTTACACAATATGCTTAACTTTTTAGAATTTCAGAGCGTTGTTCTCTTGTTTAGTTATTACCAATAAGGTCATGGTTATATTAAGGTTAATACTTGGCATCGTTAGGTGTTGAGATGTAGAGAACAGAGTTTGATTTTGATAAGTGATATAGATAGCTGAAACAGTTCTATTAGCTAATAAATCAAATATGGAGATGTTGTGGTATATTGGCACCATAAAGAAAAGTATTGTTTCATTTATTTCAATATTTTTGATATTTTTTGATATTGTGATTTTTTTCTATATTATGATATTTTTCTATATTTTGATATTTTCAGGATATGTATATAAAGTATGTAGTTTACCGTGAAAAAAAGTATACCTGTAGTAATCCAATTCAAAATACTATCAACCCAGACTGGAAACATTCTCGAGTTGTCAACCTGGGTAAAGCTGATGAAGAGGTATCGTATATTTGCATGTATAATGCACAGTTTTTTACCCTTGGCTTGCCAAACTGGGGGTGCGCCTGACGTAGGCCTACAATGACTAAATATTTTGAATGAAGTAGTTCGACAAAATCTTTTCTCAATCCTTGAAATCATGGTAGTACAAGAAATAGTTTAGTTTTTAGACAACGGCCATCCAAGATCCTGAACTATTGTTAAACGTTTAGTGAATATACAGACCTGTTGTGTATCTCACTAGCTCAGTTGGCAGCGTGTTGACTGTAAAGAGTCTAAAATTGGGGGTTTGAATCCTTCCACACGAAACCCATTTTTAAATTTACCACACTCCTTGGTCCACCCATAGAATTAAAGTGAAGTGCCTGTGATATACAAATAAAGTGAAACCAATCGTTGGCACAAATAGTGTACACAAATATACGATAATCATTATAGGAAACAAAATCCTTATAAAGATACCACACCTTGCATCTCTATTATTTTTTCATCATGACTGTTCATTTTCCATCAACGACTTTGACATTTGGTTTATTTAATTCTTTCTTTGTACAAATTATGTGACATGGTCTGTGTTTTTTTTTTCATCTAGATTGTAGAGTATTTGTCACAAAGTGCCATCATGGTACAGATCTGGGGAAAACAAAAACCACCAAAAACAAAGAAGAAAATCAACACCAAGGATGCTATATTGTCTGATGCATTAAGAAAGGGTCAGGTCTCTGCTGCTAATACCAATACAAAGGTAGGCTCATTCTACTTTGACAGTTTTTTTCCCTTTGTTTATACAAAGATATATGCCTTGTCAATCTTTCTTACTCTTTTTCTCTCTACTAATATAAATACAAAATTATACTATATACTGCTTGCTTTGGCACTGTTTCTTTTTCTCTTATTCAAAGGCTCTAAAAATAAAAGAAACAGTCATTTATTACAAGAATAACAGCTTAAGATCTCAAGGATCCTGTCTATAAGCTGGTCCTTGGCCAAACCACTTGGCATTGCATTAACCTTTCCTGATTATTCATACCCATGAGACAGAGGCGAATTTTACATGCTTACTGAGATTAGAATGCATGACCACTATTAGAAGTGAGGATGACTGTTGGTATTTTTGCAATCCAGGTGTTTGATTCAGATAAAGTAAAATTCATGATGAAGGTAGCCATGTTGGAAAAAAGACAAGAAAAAATGCAAATAAAAATTGTAAGTTGTACCTCTATAAGAGAAGAAATCAAGATTTGAAGCGATCACCTGGATCCTTTCTTATTTACACGTACCTGGAAATCTACGGAGAAATGTCTTTCTTTCCAAATGCTTTGAAAGGTATATATTAAAAATGGAAAGACAGTGTGCCCAAGAAGTATTGCACCTTAAAGATAGTCCTTTCTTTTTATTTATAGATCTTTCTTGCACAAAGATTTAGGCTTAAATTTGAAGCTTCGTCCATTATTTTTGGCTACTTTCTACTATTAAAATGGTTTTAGTAAATTAATTTCATTATTTGTCTGTTTTCCAAGAAAGCACAAATCTGTACAAAAACAAAAAATATTCTCATTTTCAGAATGCCATGAATAAAATGATAGAGCTGGCTGATCAACATTCTAAGAAGAAGATTTCAACCCAACTAATAAAAGATATCTACCACGCCTCTACCCACGATCAGGCTGAGAAATGTTTAAAACTGATAGAAAAGGAGAAAGGTAATTGATTGGTACGTCAGTAGTATTTAATATTAGGGTGGGGTGGGGAACAAGCTCTAAGGTGGGGTGGAGCTGAGTGAACCTCCTGGAATAGGGAATGAGGTTATGTTAAACAAGACAAAATTAAGTTATCTGTGAGATCGAGCTCGGTTATAGGACTTCTGAGTGGAATTGGGTTCAGTGATTGATTGTTTGTTGGGATGGTTGCTGAGTCAAACGTCTTTCAGGTGGGATGGGGCTCCATCATCTGTCTCATGGGTGAATTGAAGCTCAGTCGTGGGTGAGATGGGGCCCAGTCAGAGGTCATTTGCTTGGGATGAAACCCAGTGACAGGTCTTGGTGGTGGAATGGGGCTTAGTGATAGGTTGGGATAGTGAATATAGGTCATAGGTCTCACTGGAAGTATTGGGCTCAGTCAAAGGTTTATTGAGAAATCCTAGTCTGATAGAGCAAGTGTTAATGCAGCTATTTGAGTGTCTATGGGTTGTTGATTTCACCCATAAAAATGAAATGTAGAAGTTCCATTTTCCAACCGAAAAGCCCAGAAACATGAAAGAATATGGATATGTTTGCTGGTATATTTTAGATGAATTTGAAAACATAGAAGTAATAGAGGTCAGAGAAAGTGTAAAACCCTGGCCTTGTTGTTGGCGTTCATACACATTTAAATAAGACATATTCTAGCCCCCTACCTATGTTCAATTTGTCCCAGTAAGTTCGTGTGTGGTGGCTGACATCTTAATAACATGAGCTTATTTGTATTTTAATATTGTTGCCCATGTATTCATATTTATGGTGAATGAGTTTAAAATTTTGCTTATTAAAAGTTTTGACCAATATTGCTGTTAACCTCATTATTATATATATAACTGTAGCAAGTCAGAGATATTTTAACCCCTCAAGTTTTTAATTTTTCTTCTGCTTTTATCTCATACAAGGAAAATTGTTATTAAAGAAGTGTGTTATATATATATTTCTTTGTGTATTTGTTGTATGTGCTCTCTGCTTCTTAATGTACTTCATATCTTGTCTGATCAATAGATTTCTTGTTACTAACATATAATCTAAGAAATGTTGAATTTTAATAAGATTTTCCACCTCAATTACTTTTATTCTACCAATAGTGGACTGCTGGTGCTTGTGTTATCATCCAAGGCTATAGCCCAATCCAAGCTAAAATAAGGCAATGGGCCTTATGTAATTCAAGTAATTCTTTTTAGTGGAATTGCAGGAACAACAGACGTCTAAATCGAAAATTGGAATGGTGCAAATTGATGCTATCTGTGTCCCTGATACACATAAAATTTTTAGAAAAGCTCTTTACAATCATTTTAAGGTTGGTTGTGGTTTGAAGTGAGACATTGTCCTCCATTATACTACAGCCTAGTCATTACCAGATTACCTACCTTAATAATAAGATTGAGTTTCTGATGTAATGAATATTAATTATTTTACAGATAATGATGAACCAGATGGAAAACAGAAACCAAAACAGAAATCAAAACCTGCTCCCAAGTCAGCTGTCTCTGATTGTTCTTCTAAAAGTTCCATCAGTTCTAACAGTGGACACAAAAAATCTTCTTCTTTCTGTGTTCTATTGTAAATGATAAGTGATACTGATTGTTAAATTATGTATAATTTATGCACATATTAATGATTATCAATTCAAACTCTGATCTTATGAGAATTGTTAACAAATGTTATATGACACTAATTGTTAAATTATAAATAATTTATGTGCATGTTTATGCGCATCAATACATATTAATTTTATTTTTGATTGTTTCAAAACACTGATCAAACAAATGTTACATTACACTTATTATATTATTTCAATGAGATACCCATGAGTTTAATGTCTCCTATACCTCAATACATGTATTCTGGTACATGTAAAAATACTTTTAAAACATTATCTATATATCATATGTTCTTCTAAGGACAGATCCAAAAATTGAGTGCCCTCTGACAGAAAGAAACAAATTTACAGTATGAAAGAGCTTGATTACAAATTTGAACTGAAGACACTGGCTATTTTTTTCTTTATATCTATTTGTCACTCATTTTATCATTGTTTATAGAGGTGAATCATTTATTGTGTTTATTTTATTTATTATTTGTTTGTTTGTCTATTTTCCTGTTTTCTGTTTAATTTTCTAAGATTACATGAGTATCCTCACGATTTCTTTCAAAAAAATTTAAAATTGTTTATATTTATGATTTTTGATTTATTTTTCAAAAATATAAATAAGATAGTGGTAGATACAAAATATAAAAGGCAAGGTAATATACGCCCACTGGCAGCTTTGATTTTAAATAAAAATATTTGGCAGTACATAAAAAATTACCAGTATGAAATAGTCAACCTTCAGTCTTACTTTTTTTTTGAAATTTTTGGGGCAATACTGAATAATATTACCAAGTTTTGTCAAAATCCGCAAGAATCGTACCTTACTTAGTGTTTACGAGCAAAAAATTGAAAGCGTTTTCAAAACCAAGGTCACTAACTCCTATAAAACATTTTCTCTATTTTTTGATACTTAATAGCGTTCCATCTATGGGTGAATAATAAGGGGCAATAAACAATTTCACCAAATTTCATCAAAGTCTGTCAAGATCTGTGCTTTCTAGAGTGTTTACGACCTAAACATTGAACGTGTTTTCAAAAACAAGTAACTCATAGTAAATATTTTTCGATTCTTGATTTTCAATAGAGTTCATCCTTGGATGATAGCAAACACTCAAAGCAAAATCTGTCAAGAATCTAGAGTGTTTACAAGCAATTGTGGACGGACCAACGGACTTGGTTGACGCCAATACACGCTCCACATTTCATGTGGGTGTATAAAAAAGGCACAAATTAAAACATCCTAATTGAAGCCAGTTAAAATGTCATTTTGAAAGGTCACAATTTTCAGAAGTTTCATGAAAAAAAAAACCTGACAAAAATTGACTTGGGACTGATAAAGATGTTTAAATTCTTGAAACTTGAAACATCAGTAGGGCCTAAATTTAGTAAGTTTTTTTGTGTGTTTTTCCAGAGTTTAAGAATAATTGCAAGATCTTTGGCAATAATTTATGATTAATTCATAAGCCTGTATAACATTCAAAAAGAGAACAGGAAATACAAAACTGAAAAAAAATTTGGTTGTAACAGTTAACAAGTTTAAAATCAGAGAGGGAAATTCAAATGGAAATTTTCAAGTGATACTTATAATTTATAAGGAAATTGAAACTACCGTTGGGATATAAATAGAAACCGGTTTTAACCCAATGTGATAAAGAAACAGCTGGAATATATTTTTGGTCATATTCAAATTTCCGATATATTTGTCGATATATTTGTCGGTATCAAGGCAAGTTGACATTGCACACCATGATATATTTGATAGTTGCTGATGAAATTCTCATCCGCTCTTGATTATTTCGAATATTCTAGATATTTTGTTTCCTGTATTTTCTGTGGGTTATGACATTCTTTCTGAATCAGAATTTACTATGAATGATTTTTAAAAAGGTTATAAATAGTTTTTGATCATTTTAATTTCTGTCGGATGTGGGTGATTCCTGCAATGATTAATCATTTATAAGATATTACTATCACAAAATCTTCAAATAAATTATTATAAAACTCTTAGTTTTAGTAGAATTGCAAGACCCACAGATGTCTGATTGAAAATGAGAATGGTGTTAATTGATGCTATCAGTGTCCTGATACACATACAAATTTTAGAAACTTTTCAGAATACTAGACTTTCACTGTGAAAATAGATAAACTGTAGATTTAAATACTCATTAAAAAACATGTCTATTTCATCAGCGAGTACTTACACCAAACGTTTAAGTGAATAAACATATAATTTACGTTGTAAAACGTCCAGCTCAGAAATTTTACAACAAATTTTGTGTTTTGAGAGTATTTTCCTGTTATTATTTATTTTGTTTAAATTTTACCGAATGTTGTTTGTTTTTAAATCTATATTGAATGGTTTTAGATACAGCTGGTCTGTGATAAACTGTAAATAATGTTAGATAGAGATGTTGTGTGAGTGAATAGTATTATTATCTTCAAGTTAATAAACTAAAAGTAAAAAAGGGAGATTAGAAATAAGCGAATAATTTGAAATTCAGCAAAAATAGTATGCACATGAAACTGTGTATTTGTTTAATCAAGATTTGTAAAATCCTTATTTTCATAATAATTCCACTTAATTTTAAGATAAGATTTTAGAAGTAATTTGCTCTGATGCGAAAATATATTTTAAGGTTTATCCTTTAGAAATTTAGAAAAATAATTACAGGGTATAGTAGAACCTAGATGTAGACAGAACTAGTAGGAGCCAAAAAGCACTTCACTGCCAATAAGTTGCTATGGAAACTATAAAAATGGTAGCACTTTGATTAACAGCAGATCTGTGATATTTGTAAATAGTCATATTTTCATTTCTAACTATATTGTTTTATTCTTCCTTTTTCAACTTCTTTAGATTCTAAAATTCCTTATTTGTACATTAATTTTGTTACTTTTTCATCCAGTGTCTTCAAATTCATTTTCTTCAAATTTTCCACATTTAAGATAGATCAAGTTCTCGTACAGTTTATATGGTGAGATAAAGTAGAAAAAGGGAAAAACTATTCATGTCAGAACTTTGTGTAACTGCTATTTTCTTGAGTAAGGACGATATACCTCATTTAATTTCACTTTTAAAGTATGTCTGTGACTACTATTTTGACAGTTGCTAGGTAGATGGTCATGGTGGGAGAAGTACTAGGACCTAGTAAAAACCTTGGAAACCCATCATTATTAGAACATTTTATATGTTGAATGCTCTAAATCTTAAATTGTTGTATCTGTAATCTACAGTATTATATATTATATGCCAAATCTATTTTGTCACTGTTTGTAAATAGAGAAAGTTTAAGCGCAATTTTTGAAATGATTTAAGCATAGAGTAATCTGATTGGTCAATCACTGAATTTTAAATTTAGTTTGATTAATGCATACTATATTTGTTAGTATTAAGTATTGAAGAATAAGGTTTTAACATTTATATTGTATTTGTTAATGATTAACACCAAGCACGTAGATGCTATAATCCATCCAATTTAATACTGCTGTAATTAGATGATATATATATATATATGCACAATGTATTGAGCATCCAGGAACATGAGATGCATTACAATTAGATCAGATCATTGATGGCAAGTGGACACGCAGAAAAACCTGGCCTCGTATTCTTGAAACGATCTTAGCGCTAAGATGGCCCAGGTTCTTTTCTTTTAACATTGATTCTAGGACATCCTAGCGCTAAGATTGTTTCGAGAATACAGGGCCTGATATGAATTATCCAGATTTGCATTTGAATCAGATTGTGTTGAAATATTGTCTTTGTTTTTTATCAATTTTGCAGTTGATATTGATATATCTGAATTGTATCTTTCTTAGAAGTCCGTCCATACCTGCCTGGGTTTATTAAGTATTTGTTTGATTGGAAGGGGGAGACAGTGACATGTTGGTTTTATATGGGTTGAATTTTGTTTGTTTATTTTGAAAATTGTATTATTTAAAAATAAATGCAATGCGAGTTTTACAGCTTTTTGTGATTTACAGTTTAGACAATGAAAATAGGAAAATTCAGCTTCACTGATGGATCAAGCACGAATCACAAGCTCAATACATCCATAAGTGTTCTGATGTTTCCAATTTGTTTGAAGCTCATTGACTCTTGAATGGTAGGTAAATAATAGAGTCTCCATTATCTTTAATTATAGATGCATCCATGGAAGACAATTTCATACAGTTGAAGAGATTGTCAACGGATTTTCTAAACTTTATATGTGTATCGGGGACTCTGATAGCATCAATTTGCACCATTTCAATATTCAGTCAGATGTCTATGGGCCTTGCAGCACTGTATGAAAGCATCAAAAGTCCATCATGAATGCTTAAAGCTACTTTTGTCCAATTTGGAAGGTTTCTGTTTTACACGATACTGTTGGTTAGGGGTTAAATTAAAAACATTATATATTGACGGTAACTATTTAATATCACAGATAACAAATCAAAAACAATATTAATATAATACAGAAAATTATAAAATTATAGCAACAGGTACTTGTTACTGAAGAATTACAATACTTGCCAGTATCTGCAAGTTGATTATTTAGAGATAATAAGCTTGTTGCCCAAATCCTCACCCCTAGCGAAATTATTGTTAAGAAAACAAATTAAAAATGGAGTCTGAGAACAACAAAGAAAAAACTCATACCTTTTGAGTCTGTAGCCAGAATCTGGACAATTCATACTTACCTCAGCAGATATCACTCTGAAACATGGTTTTATCAAGTTGGAGACTCTGTATACTGTAAATTTTGTAACATAGGCAATGATTATCAATACCAGAGTCAACATCCTTCATAATAATAATAGTTTCAGAGATTTCATACAGCATGTATTATAGTTTAATGTACAGTTCCCATAGCAAATGACAATTTTCTTTCAGTGTTCACAACCTTTGTTAAGATTCAGAGAGTCCACACCACTAATAAATTATTATATAGCATTATAAATTATTGTTTATTGATGGTCTGTGTGTGCTATAATAATAATTGGTGATTGCTAATTAAATTGAAGGAGAGTAGGAAATAATGCCATTCAGCAAATATAGGTTAGCCGTTAAGTGTCATTTAAGTTTATCAAAATGCAAAATTTGATGACAATTTACTTGAGGGATACAAGTCATCAATCACTATGAGGAACAATAATATATCTCCAGATTTGCTTTATAGAAACATTACACAACAAATAAACCTCAACCCTTGTAACACAAATATAGTAGAAGAGGCCTAGTGTCTTCCCATAGGGGTTCTCTTTAAGGGCTCAATACTTCGAAAGCGTCTGTTGGTGCTTCACCAAAATGTGCATTGACATGATTGTCTACTTCTAGCTGAGGACAAGATTCAGGGAACAAGTGATTACACATTGGACAAATCCTTTCTGGCACAGATTCACACGTCAGAGTGGTGGGCTGGTCTTCGGAGTCCACGCAATTAAACACGTGAGTCTGAAACTCGTTCACACTTTTATGAGTATAGTCTGCATTACATACAGGACATGTTTTAATGGAAGGTATTCTATCAGACTCCCGCTGTGACGTCGAACTACTTGATGCTCCTACAACCCCAAGATCCAAAGGTGTTTGTGATCCAATTCCATTATCTGCTCTTTCATAGGCATACACTGATTCTTTTGAAAGACCAGAAGAAGGAACTCTATCAGACTCTTTCATGAAAATTGGAGCTGAATTTGTGCTTTTTAGAGCCTGCAATTGTCGTCTATGATATTCCATCCCAAGATCGTTTGTACTCCTGATGACCTCTGACTGCGATTTTGATTGGTATTGACGTAACTTTCTGCGAGGCGGTGATTCGAGATTGTCGTATTGTTCAACTTCTGGTAATTCCACCCTCAGTTCACTACTGTTTCCAAAAGGAGCAAACGTTTCATTGGGTATTAACTTGGCATTACCAGTTGGACTAAAAACTCTGTTTGGACTATGACGCATGCATCCATTACTCAGAACATCTTCACTAGCTTCCACGTTATCTACACTGGAGTTACTGCCCCTGTTTGAAGAATTGCCAGAATGCATCACACAATTCATACTTAAACCAAGCTTTTCTTCTCGTAAGATTTTCTTCACTGTTGGGTTGCTATCTGAAATGACAGAAACAATAAACTTATGAATAACTGAGTTGATAGCTAATATAAGTAAGGAAGTAAGTGGCCCTCACACCATAGTGAATACCAGTTGTGTATGACCCCCCTTGAAAATTTTGTGGCCCCTGCTCCACCCCTCAATTAATTTTTCCTACAAACACCACTGCTATTATCTCACAAAAAATGTAAAATTCATAAATGAAATGTTACTCACCTAATTTTAAAAGATAAGCATTCTGAGTTTCGATGATTGTTTTCAACTTCTTGATCATGTGTTTCAAGTTTTTTAACTCGTCTAAGGCTGGTAACGAGGAATTTAATGACATATCACTCAAAATTTCAGACGTCAGTTCTTTCGATGCTCCTGTAGCCGACACTACGCCAGTACTTCGAGTTGTTCCATTCCTAAGAATCATGGGAGTTTTATCATTTGCATACAATTTCCTTTTAAGGCTCGCATTCTCTTCCGTTAGTTTACGAACTTGAACCACCAACGATAAATTTTCTTCTTTTATTTTTTGCGAGTCTTGTTTAAGTTCCGTTAACTGTTGATCAATATCTTTGCCACTGTCTAACATTGAAAACTTTTCCAAACGTTCAGTTAATTTCTTCACTTTTTCCTCCAAAATGGAATTTTTTATACGTTCCAAACTGTTGTGATTTTGTTCAATATTTTTCAAACCTGCTAATGTTTTTTGTAGCTGAGATTTGTCTGCTTGTAAAGATTTTATATTGACCTCTGCAATCATTGATTTACGTTCTAATTCTTTAATACGTCCTTGTAAAATTCCTACCTCCATGCTGGAAGGTTCGGGCTGGGGCTCGTCTACCATTAAAAAACTGTCTGTTGAATATTCGGACGATGACTGGGCAGTTAATTGATTTTCTAATTCTTGGATACGTTTGTCCTTTTGTTCCAATTTTGAAGACAAATTATTATGGGAGTGTTTTAAATCATTATAAGCTATTCGAAAGACTTGAAGAGACTCTGTATTCTCTGCCGAGGGTCTGCTACTAGTCATTGCATAATGTCGAGCTAATGTGTCAGCCTCATCTGCTGAATCTTCCGCCACGTCAGTGTAGTGGGATATTATACTGATATCGTGATCCTCGTGGAACGCCATTTTATCAAAGTTATACCTGAAATGACAAAACAAAGAGAAATTTAAGTTAAAGTTTTCAGATAAAATGCTAAGTACACGAAGTGTAAATAAAATAAAATACACTCAATTTTATCATGGTCAGATCTTCAATGACAAACCAAATTAAACTTTTAAAATTAACAATTAGAACACCTCAAAGTCAATCACAAAAAAATATGAAAATTGACAAAAGACAATTCAAAATATTGGGTTTTCTCCTAAGAGACTAACTCAACTTAAGGAAACTACAACAGATTTTTTTTGCTAGTCATGGAAATCATAACATGATCAAACTATATAACCGACCTCTAGTCTCGACAGGCAATAAACGTAAACTTATGTTAGATATAATTTTGGGAAATTTTTATATGAAATTTAAGATAAATAAATTGCCACATAATTTTGAATTACACTCTATCTAGTAAATGTATGATCAATAAATATATAAAACGTGTTTTAAGTTAGTCACATGACTATGTTGCAATATATCACATGTATATGTCTAACATATATTACCAGTGCTATAAACTCTATAATAAATAAATAAATAAAATATTAATAATCCCTGTAAGATATTACACATTCAGTGAAATTTTAAAAGTCTTTATGAAGTTATCTCAATTAAAATAAAAACTGTTATTGAATATTAAAACATCCTAATACTGTCATGTCATCAGTTGTCCAGTTGTGAACAAAAAACAATTCAAGCATTAATGTGCCAAGTCACCCACCCCAGTCCTTCTCAGACAAGGTACCATCGATCTGTAACAAATGTAGAAATCTTTTTAAAAATATACACAGAATAAATGATATCAGAGTACAAATCGATGATACCGAACTCGAGAAGAACTTTTTTGCCCAGCTAGTCGATCTTCAGGCAACTGAACTATGTCTCTAAGCACTGTATTAACAGTGACAATAATTTGTTATCCTATTATTATTCTATATAGTTCATTTCACTTTGATATTCAAGAAATGTAGAATAAACATACATTTTTATAGTTTACCACTGCTGTCTATCTGTTAGTTGTATTATAATGATGTATTATTACTATTAACGTTGCCTTATATCCCATTAGTTATCAGTATCAGCTGGGTATTACCCATGTTACTATAAATAGAATAAGGACAACCCCACAATGTATTTCTACTACTCAATATCAGTTTAATATTAGTAAGTCACCGATTTATGACCAATAATAACTCATTAACCTACTTATTTCTTTGGATATATAGGAGTGTGATCTACAATCAACAATCAACTCCTTTCTCTCAGTGTTCAGTAATATGTCGGTTTTAGTTAATATTGTGCAGTTAAATTTGGTTTTTTCCTACTTGTTAGTAACCTACTTATTTTCATTTATTTAAAGAGAGAGTCATAACAACATGAGTTTTAATAATAATTATATCTTGTTATTCAGTAATAAGGTTTTTGTTATATTTTGAAGTCAATTTTTCATCTGTTTTTGTTAGTAATTTGAATACTTCTCATTTATTTAAAGAGAGATTCATAGAGATTCTGACAGACATTATTCAAGCCTTGTTTTAGAGAAACTGAAAGTGAGGTTCATAACGCAAATTACATCATCCAATGATAAGATGGCAAGTCGTATGAATGAATAGCCAAATTGATGTCATTATACTCTTTCTCAACAGGCAAAAAATGGGCATAAATTAAGAATTTGTGATTGCGTTATCAGCCTCATTCTGGATTCAATACTGCAGACACGTGAATAAGTTTTATCTCTTAGTGTTCAATTATACATGAGTGTTTGTCAATAATGTGTATTTAAATTCGGTTTTTCCATTCTTGATGGTAGAAGGAAAACTAAAAATACCAAATACAACCGGACATATTGTACACTAGTGCAATATGTATCATGATACAAGGGTTACAATACAATACGTATATGGGGTAATGAGATAAAAATATTACAAAGTTTCAATATTTATTAATTTATAATTTTAAAACGGTGATATTTGGTAATACAGTTGATAGTAGTGGTTAGCATCTACCATCTTATACATTTAAAGTTGCCAAAAATATCAGTCAAGTCAGTGAGAAAAAACTATGATTCCATTCATCAGCTTGTAAAAAATCTCCCTTTTTAATGGAATGAGAAGTATTGTTGAGTATCTATACACAACCTTGACTTCTGTGAACCCTAATTAGCCCCCTTTTTCTGAAAGATTCATAGAAATGCTTCTGATTTGCCTGTGTTTATGTTTTTAATCGTACATGGATGTGACTCTACCCGTATTACATGTGAACTGACATTATCATAGTATCAATAAAATAATCTGTCTCAATGACTATTGTAAATTTTCTATTGTCATTTTATGTATTATCCTGAATATAAGGAAATACGTACCAGGATATATTTATATTTATTTATATATATATATATATTTTATATATTTACATGTATGTCATCATACTGGTTAAGTTGAGATACTGGTTAATTTGAGATACTGGTTAAGTTGAGATACTGGTTAGGTTGAGATACGGGTTAAGTTGAAATACTGGTTAATTTGAGATACTGGTTAATTTGAGATACTGGATAAGTTGAGATACTGGTTAAGTTGAAATACTGGTTAATTTGAAATACTGGTTAATTTGAAATACTGGTTAATTTGAGATACTGGTTAAGTTGAGATACTGGATAAGTTGAGATACTGGTTAATTTGAAATACCAGTTAATTTGAGATACTGGTTAAGTTGAGATACCAGTTATGTTAAGATACCAGTTAAGTTGAGATACCAGTTAAGTTGAGATACCAGTTATGTTGAGATACCAGTTATGTTGAGATACCAGTTATGTTGAGATACCAGTTATGTTGAGATACCAGTTATGTTAAGATACCAGTTAAGTTGAGATACCAGTTATGTTGAGATACCGGTTAAGTTGAGATACCGATTATGTTGAGATACTGGTTAAGTCGAGATACCGGTTAGGTTGAGATACCAGTTAAGTTAACATACCAGTTAAGTTGAGATGCCGGTTATGTTGAGATACCGGTTAAGTTGAGATACTGGTTGAGTTGAGATACTGGTTGAGTTGAGATACCGGTTAAGTTAAGATATCAAAAATTGAATGACAATTGCCAATTTTCTGTTTAATTAATTGTATTTTATTAAGAATAATCAATTTTTTATCATAAAAGTCAAGGTTTGTTACTGTGAGAGCCATTATTCTGACACCCCTAAACCCATTATTGAATTCTTCCACTCACCATACTTATAGAAATAGTACAATAATGCATGTTTGGAAGGGCCTATTATGTCATAAAATTCAAAATTTTACTAAGTCAAGAGCAATAATTAAAATTTCGTTCATCAAAATATCATCTTGACCAAGATCTCATTTTAATCTATGATCATACTAAATTTTATTAAAATCAGATGAAACTGTAGTCTCTGTAGCGTTCACAAATAAATTTTGACATGTTTTTTCTAAGTCAAGGGCATTAACTCAAAAATCTTTAATCAAACAATGCTTAATTTTAAACTTGACCAAGATATCATTATAAATAATCACACCCAGTCTCATCAAGATAGGATAAACACTGTAGCCTCTATCATGCATACAAGAAATGTGGGCAGGGGGACAGACAGGAGCAACGACAGTATACAACCACATAATAATGTGGTGATTCCAAAAAAGAAAAAGCAGGCAGCAATAACCAATCACAGAAGAATTTATGATGGGTTCACCAATACCACTAGTAGTACAGCAATTCATTTGATGTATACTGAACTTGGTGTAATAAATAATAAAACTTGACATCAAATACCATCCTTTAATACCCAACCTCTATTCAAAAAAGTTGATGGTATTTGATGTCAAGTTTTATCATTTATTACACATTATAATGTGGGTGTATAAAAGTGCTACGGGTAGTTTAAATAGAGACTCAATGTAGACAACGAAATGTCTATAATCTATTTATCATATTAAATTAGGGTGTGGTATATACATATAAAAGATTCATTAAGTTTGATTAGTATATTAACAATGATGAAGTGTCATGTGATTCGGCCCACATATATCTCTTCCAGCTATAGATCATTTATTTAACAAAGGCGTTAAAATTATTCATTTCTTCAATTCAAATGTTGTGTCAATCAAAACTGAAACAAAAATGTGTGGCTTTATAAATTTTCATCATTATTTTTCCATATACAATAATGTAGTACAATGGTTTTTGATCATCTTAAATTTCATATGGGAAAGATCTCTAAAACTAATCAAGCTTAATAATGTATTTAATTTTATTCATTCAATTGTAAACAATATGCTAATGAGGGTGATCTAATGGTTTAATAATTTTCATTTTCAATTTTCTTTCACACACAATAATGGGGTATAATATATATTTTTTAGCCCATCGAAAATTTCACAAAAGAAAAGATATATAAAACCATTTAAATAATTTTCAGGTATTTATTTGTATCTTTTCGCTTTTATCCAATAAAATATTGGGTGTGGTTTAATCTAATGGGTGTGGTTCAATCAAATGGATGTGGCTATATCAAATGGGTGTGGCTATATCATGCAGTTAGTTGAATAAGGCATAAGGTACATTGAGCTGATTGAGAATTTAATGTATGATAGGAATTACTGTTGTCATGACATAAAATGTTTTATTTTCATATTAGCGTTCAAATATAAAATTCATGTTTTGACAGAGTTTTATTTTCATATTAGCGTTCAAATATAAACTTCATGCTTTGACAGAGTTTTATTTTCATATTAGCGTTCAAATATAAACTTCATGCTTTGACAGAGTTTTATTTTCATATTAGCGTTCAAATATAAACTTCATGCTTTGACAGAGTTTTATTTTCATATTAGCGTTCAAATATAAACTTCATGCTTTGACAGAGTTTTATTTTCATATTAGCGTTCAAATATAAACTTCATGCTTTGACAGAGTTTTATTTTGAAAGATATTGTGAGTATATAAAGTATTCATTTATCAATTATTTCCAGGGTTTTCAATCTTTCTTTCCGTCTGTCCTTTCAGGATCCTTGATTGACATCCTTCTCCAATAAATGCTTATTATTAATGTTATTCAGTGTGTTTATATTTGATATACATATCAATATCATCATATATTAAAGGGCGGGTTCAACATTTTCGGGGTTTAATTTGTGTCTTGAATATATGTAAATCTTCAGAAGTACTAGAAATGTACAAAAATAGCATAATTCCTTCAAAAATATCTCAAACTAGGAATTTCTCTTTCTATTTCTATAGATCTCCAATTTTCAGACAAAGCATCAATCAGTCAAACAGATGACAAATCTGTCTCTTTAAAGTCACCCTATATTTAATCATATCAAATTTGTTTATCTTAATTTATTGTGTCATAAACAATCTTATTTTGGAAGTTTTGACTTTGGATATTGATATTGATTTCTAATCAAACGATAGATAACATTAATCAATGTCAAAAAGTAAAAAAGCTCATGTCAAATAAAGCAATTTAAAGGTCTAGTGTTATTGAAAATTAATTAAAATAAAAACTCAGAGCAGGAACAATATTCTTAGATTTTCTTAGATATTCCTGTTGAGAAGTTAGCATACATTAACGTGACGTCTTACAGACGTTGTCAAGATACACACTAACGTCACGTTTGACTCTTTAATGTTTTGAATCTGTAATTTTTTGGAGGTTTGTTAAAATACACGTATAATACCAAACGATTCTGCTTCTTCGTATTATTCCCTCTTAACAAAAACTAAATTTGTTTTAAAGTTTCCAAAATTTGACTAACTTACCAACTACAAATTTCTAAGATATTTTTTCAATCTAATAAAAATCCCTTTGCAGAAAATATGCGATAAGATCACAAAAAAAGAAATATCCATATTGTAACTAAATAATTCAAATTTCACTCTCTTTTCTTAGTTTCCAATATATATCTGTCTTTCAACAGTTAGTTAATGGGACTCCATTCAACAAATTGGGATCTGGGTTAACCCTTAAAAATACTTTCCTTTTTTGGTATTCAATGTCTACCTATTTAATTGGACTCAATTGAGTATCAAAGTAATAAGTAGGTTAAAGCCAACAATAAGTTTCGTGACAACCGGTGTATTTTAATACAGTGTGCATTCAGTAAGCCTATAAAATTAAGTATTACATAATATTTGAAACCAAACACAAATGCGGCCGAAAATTGGGTTAAAGATTATGGGATTCCCATTTCAAAAATAACCAGAGCTTTGTTCAATACGAATGCAATGTGAATTTCTCAAAAAAGTACAAAGGAATCATTATCTCATCACTTGCTTTCGTGATTTTTCAACTGAATTAAACTTTTTTACTAACTGAAATTTCTGAATAAACTTTCCAGTTAATGTGACAGGTTTGCCATTTCACAGGGGTTGATTTGGGTTTTGAATATATATAAATAGTCTTGAAAAGTACTGGTACTAGAAATGTATGAAAAACGAGTCATTCCTTCCAAAATTATTCAAATACCTACTGCGCTGGTCTAGTTTAGATGAAACTAGTTAAAACGGTAAGGTACAAACTTGGAGCAATGGGGGCTGGAGAAGGTGGGTCAGGTGGAAACTTTTAAAAACAAAAAATGGGCTTGTAATCTGCATTTTATGTAATTTGAAGGAATATTCTATCAATATTATTACATTTATACCATGAAAAAAAGCCGCCCCAAAATATCACCAAAAAGGTAATATTAAATTACTAACTTTTTGTGGTCTGAAGTAAGAAGTAATATAAAGTGTCTTTCTGGGGAAACCATGATAAAAAAAAAACGTAACAAGATTCTTAAAGAATTCAAAAATTTATTTCCTCATGGTAAATGACAGAATATCAAGTTTTCCATTCTCTTGATGACAGTGAAAAACTTTTATTATTATCTGTTATATTCACTGGTTTACAAAATATGAATAGATTGAAAATGGTGAAAATCGATGCTATCAATGTCCCTGATACACATAATACCTATTTACAAATTGGAGTAGTGAAAATCGATGCTATCAGTGTCCCTGATACACATAATACCTATTTACAAATTGGAGTAGTGAAAATCGATGCTATCAGTGTCCCTGATACACATAATACCTATTTACAAATTGGAGTAGTGAAAATCGATGCTATCAGTGTCCCTGATACACATAATACCTATTTACAAATTGGAGTAGTGAAAATCGATGCTATCAATGTCCCTGATACACATAATACCTATTTACAAATTGGAGTAGTGAAAATCGATGCTATCAATGTCCCTGATACACATAATACCTATTTACAAATTGGAGTAGTGAAAATCGATGCTATCAGTGTCCCTGATACACATAATACCTATTTACAAATTGGAGTAGTGAAAATCGATGCTATCAGTGTCCCTGATACACATAATACCTATTTACAATCTCTTTGTTTAAGAAAATCCTACCTTTTAGACTGAAAACAGATTTCATATTTAAAAAGCTAAATCTCATTCAGTGATTCATTCGACAGTAAATACAAACAATAGGTGAACACAGGTCATAAGACAATAGTCAAACATTTAACATGTTTTTAAATATTTTTCTTATGATTCAACTAAGGCCTTGGTCACATTTTTCTCCTTGGGAGAAGTAACGTAATTTTTTTGGGTAATTTAGTTAAAAATTGTAGTTTAACAAACACCAAAATAATATTCTTATAGCAAGCTACTGGTATACTGTGCAATATCATTTGTCAGTCGTAACATGGTATTGATCATTTTGAAAAATCAATGCCAAAAGTTTTTTCCAAGGACCAGCTGTTAGACAGGACCTTCATGGATAGTTGTTAGCTGATTCAGATGTATCTATAATATGCAAATCCTGTAGCACACAGGGCCTCTGTTTATTGTCCCATCCAAATAATCAATCAGACATTTTTCCATGTCAGCTCCTCCAACCTGCATCACTCACTGATAAAGGGGGGAAACAAGGTTGAAAAATCTGAAAGATATCATCTCATCCCATGCAAGGATGTTTCAAGTTTGTAAGCAAGTGTCGAACTCACTGCAGTTTCCAGAGTCAGTAAGTTTCAGACCAGTGTGAACAGTGCATTATACAGTAAATACCAAACAGTGAGCAATAAAGCTGAAGCCCAGCCAAATCAACAGGTTAAAACAATTATATCTACATGATATACATGGTTATAATATGACTCAAATTGTTTTCACTGTTTCTAGATTGTGATGACCTTTAAAATCTGGTTTATATAAACTGCTCACATAGTTAAAGGTATTGTACAGATTGTAAAATTGCACTATTCCAATTATTGACCTGACGTCCATGGTTCCTGCAATTCCATGAAAACTAAGTGTTTGATGATGTCACTAATCTCGAAAGGCCTTATGTGATAAAGCATATCTGTGATTAGTGAAGTCATCAAACACTTAAATTTGTGAAATTGCAGAAACCGCGGACATCTGATTGAAAATTTGGAAGATATAAGTTTACACGATACTAGAAAAACCTCTTCACAATCCCTTTAACAGAGGATTCATTTTAAAAAATTGGAAATGAAATATAAACTAAATAGCTGAAACTATAATAGTTTTGAAGTAAACTTATATTATCAGTTTATAGTTTCACTTTAGGGGAGACCACACAGCTGTTTATCCAAGCTTCTTTCTCTATAAGTTGACAACATTCAATGTAATATTCTATGAAATAAAATGGGAATTCATTTTTGATTACAAAAGAGGCTATTTCCTTTTCAGTGTTGATTACAAGCCAAAATTCAAGTTTGGAAAGATTTATGACAAAGGTAATCAATCATATACAAATACATTGTATATAAATATATTTCGTAGAAAGTGACGGCCTATTATGAAATATGAAAAATTGATTTCTAAAATAAATAGACTTATGTATCAGCTCAGTTAAATTCCAATAGGTAATTACCCTTAAAGATACGAATAATGAAAAGTGGCTAAGAACACAACTCACATCTCAGTTGCATGAGAGTACTGAGAGTAGCGTTAGAAAATTATGACTACTATCCGTATTTGCAACTAAGCTCAGGGTGATTGCTAAGGTATGAGTGCACCTTAAGTACTGTTTGTAAAATCAATTTGGGCATATTGAGTACTGCTTGAAAACTACCAGTGTGAAGGCTTTGATGGCTCAGTGAAATGGTGGAGATAAAACCTTCTGATTTTTCAATTTTTTTCGTTGTCAGTGATGTCGGTCAGAGGGGCTGACATTCACATGGGACATTACTCCTCTATGATACAGATTTAATCATGTATTTCTACATATAAATACCAACTGCTCCAATTTGTTTTGTGCTTAAAATCAAATATCAAAGAATCTTTAATTCATGGAGAAAAGGAAAAATACATCACACGATAACAACGTGCAAACAGTAGGTAAAAAGTCTATACAATTAGAGTAAATGTAGCATTGTTTCAGGACTAATCCCTTTTCATGGAGCAAGACTATTGCTACAGAGAATCTATCCAGGAGATACCAGTAGGTCAAGTTGACCTAAACTTTTCCCCTGTCAACTTGGTTTTCTCCTGTCAGTGATGGAGGTCAGAGGGAGTGGAAAAATGTTCGATTGGCAATAGATAAAAGCCTGGAGTCCTACAGGATGTACTATACATATTAAAGATCTCTCCATATCTCATCCAATTTGAACAAATCCAACTATTACAGCTACCAACAAGTAACAACCCAATCTATGATATCAACATCCACTTGAAGCAACGTTAACTTGTCATCTACCTACCAACAATCAGTTGGGAATGTATCACAGACTGCTGAATTCAACCTACTAATGGGACAACACGACTCATGTACTGATTAAAGCTTATTTCTGATCCCTGCACAGTAATATATTTTGAACGGTCATGACCAAAAAAAATTAAAAGTTTCAAAAACAAGCTGCTGAAGCTGTATCCAGTCACCAACTTCAACCCTAACAGATAAGAGCTGCATCTATTGCCCAATCAAGTACTGTAAGTCCTGACTATAATAAGAGTGACTTCAAAACGTGAAGTGAAGGTTACTATGTTCTTATCTTCTGTTATGATGTATCACATGTAGGCCAATGTAAACAGTAAATAGAAATAGGTATCAAAATTGCTTTATCATTCAAGATCTTCTGAGACTGAAGTTTGCATTTTGTTTATCTCTATCCCTAAGTAAATATATGCAAATCAGTGCACAACCATGGATACATTCAAATAAATCAACCAATCAACATGCAGGCCCATTCAAATCCTTGAAATTGTTTCTTAGAATTCCTTTAAAGCAACGAGGAGAAGCTAAATGAAAAAGCTCATTTATTACCAAATTGAAAGTTGGTTGTTGGGCATCTAGGTGCCATGGGATTTGACTTAATAATGGGGGTTGGGGGGCATCTAGGTGCCATGGGATTTGACTTAATAATGGGGGTTGGGGGGCATCTAGGTGCCATGGGATTTGACTTAATAATGGGGGGTTGGGGGGCATCTTGATACATATTTTAGGGCAAAAAAAAATTTCAAATTTGCTAGAATAGAAGTGGGAATGCAATTTGGGGCATAAATGCAATTGACCTTGCCCCCCTCCTCTCATAGGCCTACCCCCACTCTAGCAAAGACCCTGGCTTCAACTCCAACTTGGAGTCCAAGACTACCATTTTCTCAAAACAAAATTAAACCAAAGGTGATTTCAAATCAATGAAACACAATATAGACTTACTTTACTTACTTTCACAAGAAAATCCACGTAGAAATAAATCGAAATGGAAATTACATGACATTGATCATTCTAGCAGGAGTGCTTCTTTAAACATCAAACGTAAAATAAATCTATTTTTAGAACAAACAGCTATATATAGTAACACGCAAGCTGCTTGGAACAAACTAAAACACAATTTCTACTCACCGTAAGTGGAAAAACGGAAACTTTGTGTCACTGCAAGTCAGGAAATTATTTTGCACCAATTTAAGCCATTTTTGCAAAATATTTTGGACTGAATACGCTTGCAAGAGTGTTGTCCTTGTTCAGCTTTCAAAATTCTGGTTTTTCCAACTCCGCCTTACGGGTTATACAAGCGGCCGGAAGTTTTCTTATAGTCTCGTGCTGTCAAGACACAATCAAGTTTTACTTTCACTTTAGCTTTAGATCCGTACTACAAGTAGGTCTACAAGTCAAACAGGACCGGTTCGATCTTATAAAATTCACCGGTTTTAAATATCTTTGGTCATTTTAAACGATTCTTTTTAATTTTACCGGATTTAAACTCATCACGAACACGGCAGACCTATTGTGTTTGTGTCTATTGTCATGTTAGGCATACGCCTAAGTTTAGTCACAGGTGAACCAGTTTCTTTCTCAAATCTTTTCAGTTAGGACCACCCAACCATCAGAAACCCTTATAAGATATCCCCACCCTTTCTCACCGATTTCGCAATGTCGTTTTACTGCCTAGTTACATAATAGAGGCGTACAAATAGGATCTAAAGTGGGTTCATTGGCTCCAAAAATCAAATTTATTCATACCAAATAAATTTGACTTGATCATAACCTTTTTTCTGAATTGGGAAAGGGAGAGGGGCCTAGCCTTGGGCCCTAGATATCTTTGACCGAAAAACCAGTTGTCGAAGCTTTACCGACCACTGTTCTGTGCATTGAAGGAGCTACCTAAGCCTTTAAAATCTCCCAGTGTTCACGAGAAATAGAAAATAATTGTAGACATTTAACTGACATTTATATAATATATAATAAAATAATTCTCACGGAATTCAGGGGAAATCCCCGTAAAATTGTTCATACCCGGCAATGATATAGTAAAAATACCAATATAAAGTTAGCTATATGGACTCACTGTCCGAAAGGGGTAGATCTACCAAAAGACAAACCCAGTAGCAAAGTGGCATTAGGTGCTTCGGAAAGATAAGTACACCTGGTGTACACATATTTTAGTTGAGCTCAATTCAATACAGAATTTGGACCTGGGCTTTGAAGCTCAAAGCTAATACGTTGAAGAATGGTTTCAGGGACAATCTTGTCCACCAACAGAGTCATTGAAGCGTTCACAAAAGGGGGGAGAGATGTTCTCTAATGTTTCTGCAATGAAACTTGTTAAATTGATTGGATATAATTAAAAAGTGTTAAGAAACTTTGAGTAAAAAAAAAAACTTAGCCTATCTGTTCAAGACAGATTTGGTTATAAAATGGAAGACTATTTCCATTATCGTATACCAGTGGTCCGTGGGTGGAGCCAAAACATTCTGTATGGTGAGTGGTATGCCGTTGGTTTCCAGGTACTCTAGTAGTGGCTTACGAGCGGGTTTCAGTTCAGTGCATTGAATGAGGACATGCGACCTTGTGGCAACGTGGCCGCAGCGACATTTAATGGCGTTGAACTGATGGTCTCGTAGTACGTTGTTGGTCCGGAGTCTGGTTGCCACTTTGCAGATGGCTACACATGGATGGTTTGGTTTGGTTTGGTTTGGTATCTTCGGATCAATCTGGTATCTTGCGGTGTCGAGGTTCCGTAACATGTCAGACCATTTCTGGTTGATCCTAGAAGATACGATACTGCAGAACTCCGAGTAGGAGTATTCTACAGGCTCGATATCCTCCAGACTCAGACTTTCCTTGGCACAACGGCCTGCTTGATCATTGCCAGGAATGGAGACGTGCGATGGAACCCATACTAATTCAATCTTCTGGTTGTTGTTGGTTTGGTAGTTGTGGATCATTCTTCTTATTTCGGAAATAACTTCTGACCTGCAATTAGAAGGGGTGAGAAAAATAGATTGGAGGCTGCTTAGCAAGTCGGATAGAATCGCGGCATGCTCCGTGTGATTGACGGACAGCCATGTTACCGCGTCCCTGATGGCAAAAAGTTCTGCTGTGAACACTGAACAGTGCGGGGGGATCCTTTTACTGATGCGGATGCCTTTTGCTGGGATGCACAAACCGTAACCTGTTGCGGTACTACTCTTGGAACCATCGGTGTAGATCTTCAAATGGTCGGCGTACACGGAATCAATCAGATCAAGAGCGCGAGCTCTTGCTCCCACTGGGTTCTCGTGCTTGTTGGTACTCTGGATCAGCTGGGTGTTGACTGTCGGGTTGGTAACCTTCCAAAACGGAGTAGCCGATAGGCGTCGTTCAAGGATCGTTACTTGATCGAACTGATGCTCTCTCAATAGATCAGTGACCGCTTGCCCGTAAGAAATACTCCGATTCTTCTGGTTATTTCCGACACGAGTAAATCTTCTGATGCTGGAATACGTCGGACAGCTTTCGGACAAATACTGAAGTTTCCCCCAGAATTTGAGAGATAGCACCTCCCTCCGAAGAGAGAGGGGTTTCTCTCCCACCTCCTGAAGTAGCGCCTCATTCTTCGTACCTACAGCTGCCCTGGTGGCAATATGTATAGCTTTCATGTGTAGAACGTCGAGTTTCTTCAGTTGAGTATCACTTGCTTTACCATAGGCAATACAACCATAATCAATAACTGAACGAACCAGTGACCTGTACATCATCATTAGAGTTTCTCTGGCTGCTCCCCATGTGGTACCTGAAACATAACGCATAACATTTAAGATTTTTGTAGACCGGTTACAGATATAGTCAATGTGCGTACTCCAAGTCAGACACCTGTCAAAGTGTACTCCCAGGAACCTTACTGAATTCTCATGCTTAATCTTCACACCATTCAGTCTAAGGTCAATACTGTCGTGATCTTTCTTTCTGCTGCAGAACAAACCGACGGTTTTAGCTTCCGAAATAATGAAGCCCCAGTCGTTTGCCCATTTAGCAACTTGGTTCAGAGCAGTTTGCATACGCCATTTAACTTTATTGAGGTCATTGTGACCAGTCCATATCGAACTGTCATCTGCATATAGAGCCGTGCTAACCGAGAGCTCTATATGCTTTACATAATCCAGGGCCAGATCATTGATCATAATGCTGAAGAGGGTAGGGCTAATAACAGAGTCTTGTGGGGTGCCATTCTCCAACGAGTGCTTCTCGCTGAGAGAATTGGCGACGTTCACTTGTATCTGGCGATCCCTTAAGAAGTCTTGGATCCACCTGAACATGCGACCCCGAATGCCAAGTTTATTAAGTTTAAAAAGCAAACCATCAACCCAGACTAAGTCAAAGGCCTTGGACAGATCCAGGAATACTGCACTGAAGTAGTTCTTCTTTCCGAGTTGGGCGGCCATGTCGTGTTGAAGTCGAACGATTTGATCCATTGTTGACCGTTTCTCTCTGTAGCCGCTTTGGTTGGGATCGATAAGACCATTTAGTTCACAGTGGTATCTAAGTCTATTATTGACCATCGTCTCAAATGTTTTACATAGAGTCGAGGTCAGAGAAATAGGCCTGTATGAACTGCATAGACTTTTATCTTTCTGCGGTTTTGGTAGAGGAATGACCATTGCCGTTTTCCAACTTTCCGGAATTGTACCATTATACCATGATTTGTTGAATAATTCTAGTAGAACTGTAGACGCTTCCATTGGTAACTCCTTTAACATGCTATACTTGATATTATCTTCACCAGTAGCGCTGTCTTTCTTACTGTACAGTGCTTTCTTCAGCTCGTCGAGGGTGAAGGGAGCGTTAAGATCCCGTTCATCCTCTAAGGGCGAATGATGAATTGGAGTGTGGTTGGTGTAGAAGGTCTTCTTGTTCTTTAGAAATTCTTTGGTATGGTTGGTATCAGCACCGCCGTCAGCATAACACTTGGCTAACAAATTGGCTTTTCCTTCATTGCTGTATTCTGTGGAATCCCTGTAACAAAGAGTTGGAATGGAAGAATTAGATTTTTTACCAAGCATTGGGTCTATTTTACCCCAGACAGATCTTAGGTTGGTCTTCTCATTTAATGAGTTGCAGAACTCTTGCCAGTGCTTTGTTTGTGATTCACGCAACAGAGCAGCTGTAGAAGCCTTGACCGCTAAGTATTCTGCCTTGGTATAACGGTCCGATTTCCTCTGAAACCGTCGTAGACCCCGCTTGCGAGCATCCACGGCAGCCTGGAGTTCATCGGACCACCAGGACTTGGGTGACCTACGTGCAATGCCATCCTTAGTCCGGGGAATAGAGCCCATAGCAGCATCAGTAATAACCTGAGTCAACTTCCCAGAAAAACTAGAGACGTCCTCGTCCCTTGCCAGATCTAGCTTGGAACGAGTGAAATGACGCCTAAAGAAATCCCATTTAGCCTTCCCTAGTCTCCATTTGCCTTGACACATGACTTCCTCCTTCACAACATTGCGTGACAGCGTGATTTCAATGACAACATGGTCACTTCCAAGGGTCTCACTGGTTGCTTCCCACGTACAGTCTTTAGCTAACCGACTGCTTACTAATGTGAGATCGAGATGCGAACCAAGAGGAGCAATTGCACCAACATAAGTAATGCTACCATCAATTATGCTAACCAGGTCATTGGCCTCAATGAACTCAGCAACTTGTCTACCATTAGTGTCAGTTGTTGGCGAGCCCCACAATACGTGTTTGGCGTTAAAATCACCAAGCACAATATTGTCGGTCCCGGGCAACTGATCGTAAACATACTGATATTCACTGAATCGTTGAGGTTTGCCTTTGACTTCGGGTCGATAAATATTAACGATAGAAAAAACCTTTGACTTGTCGGTAAAGGATACCGCCTGTGCCTCCAGAGGAGCGATGGTTTTCAGAGGAACCTCACTATGGGATATACCATTTTTGATGTAGATGGCCAGACCCCCACCACTTCGATGGTTGAGAGCATTAGGTCTGTTTAATCTGATCAAAGTATAACCATTGATGATAGGGTCTTTATTCCTTGAACCGAGCTTGGACTCTTGGAGAAAAACGGCATCATACTGCTTCCTTTGTAGTAGCTGTACCAGTTGGGTCTTTCGTTCAGGTACGTTCAAACCATTGATGTTCAGCTGTATGAACCTGAAATTGAATGTAAAATAATTAATGACTTTATGGATCAGTATGGTTTTAGCATGGGGTTTGGGGTGCCGTAAAAACCTCTACGTCCATTTCCGTTACTGAGCCAGTGGGCAGTGGTCTAGCTAGCGAAGTGATTCTAGAGCGCTCAGTCACGGGTCTGGAGCCTGTACTTTTGCAAATGCTCCTTGACTGGCGAGGTTGGCCACTCGTGGATACCGCCTTAACTTTTCTTGGCGTTTCCACTGATTGACCCACTACGTCAGTCTTCGGAACATCCGTGCTGGATCTCTTCCTCTTTGGTTTGGTATCCTTATTTGGTGGTTGTAGATTCGTGACATTGTCGGCACATACTTTTGATACTGCGTCCATGGCGTCCTTTGGATTGATTTCACCAGCCTTGGATCTGGAACTAATTGCTACTGCAACCAACCTACAACAGAAATCAAAAAATTTAGACTCGTCCTTGAACTCCGGCGTGAATCCTTTCGGAGTTTTAGTCGGGGCAGGTTTGGGGCATTCGACCACGGGCTTGGGGGCAGCGGGCACCGTGTTGGCCGAGACGTGATGGCGAGCTTCTTGGGAGGATACCTTGTAGGTGTGTTGTATCCTTATTTCCGCTCTTCTCGACAGGAACGAAGGGCACAAAGAAATTGTCGGCCGCCCAAAGAAAAGATAAAAGAAAAGAATAAAAAGGAACGAACTCACAAATTAGTGGCAGGTGTCAAAAGTTAATTGAGTTATACTTAATTGATACTTGACAGTAATCCGCTAATCCAATTTCACCAATCCAGACTAGAGAGAGCTAATTAGTTGTTCACAGTACGAATGTCGCCCATAAACTCAGGCTTCCCTCTATTTATACGTCCAGTCCCGGGAGACTAGCGCCGCCATTGCACCTACATTTTAAAACAGTTCTGTTTCTTATATAACAAAAAGTAGTGCAGATAAGTTGGAATGTATAGTTGAAATATGATGAAATTTCCCATTTGTTTTTTTGATGCACTGCCCCTTTAATTGTTATTAGGAGTAAATTCAAATATTACCCTTGTTTTCTGTTTTATCTATTTATATATTTTATGTCGCTTTAAATTTGAATTCGAGAACTGGAAGAGTTCCCATTTGCGGGTGGTATAATATTTTGTTACCCAAGTGTGACATAAGCTAATTTTATTTAAAGAAAAAACATAATGTCACATACAAACGGATATTCGCGTGGGAACTCTATCTTTCGACCTATGCAGTGCCGATTAAGTATTTTTAGTGATATTGGAAGATCCACAGAAAATAGGAATGTAGAAAAATGATTCTATCAGTGTCCCAAATACACATGAAAAAATTTGAAAACCTTTTTACAATCCCTTTAAAAAAAAAAATAGTTTATACTTATATACATTTATATGCCACTTGTATATATTTCCTGGTTGGGAATGATATATTACCAAGAGAACCGACCCTTTTTAACTTAACGATCTGATGGTGTTTTGTCTTGATTTACAACATGTAGAGACCGGCTATATCTTGATCTTGTCGTTAATGGTTTTTAATTGTTTTGATCCTATTTCATGTGCTATATCCGAATATGTATAAGCACATTGTTTATATACTGGGTATATTTGTCGTTTTTTTAAGTTGTATAGAAATATATTATTAAATATATCTTGAATTTTATTTCGTATTTTATATTTTTTTGACGGTATACCAGTGGGGGTACAGTGGAAAAGGGGACACAGGGGAGAAGGGGGTGGGGATATTTGCCTCGTTTGAAAAAAATCATATCTTAAAAAAATCAAAAAAATGATCTGATACGTTTTATCCACTTAGTAAACATATGTCAGAATGCGCTGAATCAATTCATTTTTAAAAATTTTCAGACGGTCGGTGCGCTTCCTCTGAATTGTCGAATTTTGACTCTGAACAGCCAGTCACTCTGATATCCCCTCCCCCAATATCTGGTGACTGGCGCCGCCACTGCGTTATACCGTGTTTTTCCAAATTGGTCTATAGTAAAATTTCTGAACGATAGAGTAATATCCTTTTGGAAGATCGGATAAGCATACAGGATATAGATTTATCTCGACTCGTCGGTTTCTGGTACATTCTAGTAGGATAGGTTATATTAAGAGGTCGATTTGAAGTATTTGTTTACTGCATTATGTATGTTAAAAGGCCAGATGCGCATTTTTTTTTTTGGGGGGGGGGGGGGGGATTTGGGTTCGGAATACAGTCGAGTTTATACGATTGCCGATAATCCGTATATGTAAATAGCCTTCAGAAGTATTAGAAATGTACAAATATCGTATTATTCCTTCAAAGATATCTCAAACTTTTCTTTTCCTATTTCTATAGATGTCTTTTCTGTATATGGCAGTGTCTAAAACGCGGATACACCTACACATGGATTTGAAAGGTCAAATGTTGACAGTGAGCTGTGAACACTATTATTGATTAGCTTAGCTAAAAAATTCTCGTTTTTCAGACTAAAGTATAATTAGTCAAGAAAAAAAAAAAAATGCGCATCTGTCCCTTTAAGGAAAATTTTCCTGCTCCGTTTAAATATGCGCTTTTAAAACGGCATTATAAGAAATTTTAACTATTTCATTCAAAGTGCAACTTTCCTGTTTTGTTATGGTGATGTAACCACTTGACCAATCAAGATGAAATGTATTGAAAATACGGGTATCAAATTGAAGTACACTGTCAAAATCTCAAGTTGAGAGCCAAGGGGACATTTTATGTTCTCTTATCACCAGTGGGGCTATTTGCCCTCCTAGAAAAATACGTTCTAGACTGGAAATATGTGTCAGAATCACTAAATTAATTCTATTTTCACCAATTTTTTCCTCTCAGACACCCCTTGCACTTCCTCGGATTTGAATTTGAATCTGACCTCGACAGTTTTCTTTCGTGGTACAAGAAAAGTGCTTAATGATGTCAAGGTATTAGAGTTCAGACTAGCTAGACATTGTGGAGAAGTGGTAAGGGATGAGTACCTAATGAAAATATACAATATTTAGGTTAATGTTTATTTAATATGTTATTAGGAAGGAGAGAAAAAAACAATACATAATAAGATGGAGGTGGTATGAATCACTTTTCAAAACATAACATAATTACTGAATATTCTTACAAAATTTCTTTTTCTAACATCAATTTATAAAAAATTTGTGGAAATTTCTACCGTTAAGTATCTTATACATTATATTATCTTCATATAGAAACATTGATTTCACAACACTTTAAAAGACTTGCATGCAGAATACAGTGCCCTTGTTTAAAATTAACTTGTAACATTCCAATAACTTTGTAATCTTTGTAATGTTCATGAAAAGAAACTGACTACCTCGCATGGCTATTATTTCAGAGCTTCACAAAATTATTTCAACTTTCTTCACAAATGATTGTTGGAAATTTTCATTTAAGAGTTTCACAAACAAGCCTAGGTACAAAGCCACAGTGTAATTTGCTGTGATTTAGTTTGTTACTATTGAATGAACCCAAACATAACCTCATCATTGAATAAGTCACTTGCTAAAGTAACAGTAACATGCTTAGGTGCATTTTGTACCTTGCATTGTAAGCTGTAGCCAATCACTACATTCCTTACATTTCATTTCTTACAATTATAGAATATTACAAGTATTTTGATTGGTGGACACTTTCTGCACAATGATTTACAAAAGGAATAAATTGAAGATACAAAATAGCTGACTATAATAGTCCTTAGTTACCATTGATTACATCATTTAGATATCATTGTCACAATTTGAAATAAAAGAAGATGATATATAAACAAACCTCAGCCAGTGCTAAAAACACTCTTAAAACTAAAGCTGAGCTTGGTTCAAATAATCTGCATATTTCCATGCATTGCAAATTGCAACAATGTTCTAAATCTGTAACCAATAGAAACAGAAGAGATTATTGCATTGATAATTACCACAAGACGCCTTTCTATTTTCTTGACTTAATAGCAGCCAATCAGGACAGTGAAAACTTTAACCAGTTTGCAGTTCTTCCTTTTTGATTGGATTACTCACAAAAGGGCAACCAATCAGAAAACAAGAAATCTGAATTGGTCTCGAGTGTGTGAGATTTTTTGTGTGAAAAAATTCAGGTCAACAATTTCATTTAAAATGCCCAATAATCAACCCTAAGAAAATCCTACATAATTCAAGTGAATTCCAGTATTGGCCAAAAATCAGGGCCTATTTTTCCTTATCACGATATCCATTTTGATTTTTGAAAGTTTTGAAGTAAATCTGTAAAGTGGAATACTATTGGACATTTAAAGTTAAAAATATCCAATCAAATTGTCCGATATAAATGTACAAATATCTAAAGAAACCAACCAATCAGATCAGTTGTCTGTTGAAAAAGGAACCATTTAATACTTGTGTTACATTTACAGGTAGTCTAGTCTAATATTATTTGAAAAAATTGTGGAAAAATCTAGAAATGGATTTTTTTGAATTGATGAAACAACAAATATTGTCCAAAATCTTTAATGAAAATTCCTGAGAAAAGGAGAAAGTATAAAGTTGCATCAGAAAACAAATGAGAAAACAATTTCCTTGAAATAATTCCAGCTTCTTTGATGCAATACATCAGTTGTTACTATTATTATCAAAATTTCCAAAGTCAAATTCAATCAAAAATAAACGACAATATTTGTTGCCCTATCAATTCTGTCAAAGTACAAAGGTGTGAAAAACAAACAAATATTTTGACCCAATGGCTGATCTGATACCTAGAGAGATCAACACGGGTGCATAGCTGCGTAGATTATTATTAACCAATCAGTATCAAGTCTACCATCCAATCAGATTCCATTAAATGGCGGCCATTAATCTTCATCCTCCTCGTCAGATTCTGGAATTATAAAATCATGGAAATTTTTAATCTGATGAAGTTAATTTAACTCTTATACCAAACTTCAGAATAGACAGGAGGTGTCAAAGTATTCTTGTTAAAGGAAGACAAAGAAAGTACAGCAAGATAAATGAATCAAGTATAATGTTCTACCTTTATGCTTCTAATTGGGCAAATGAAAAAAGACAGTTTGCAGGGCAAGGTTGTTTGCCATTTTACTAGGGCTTATTATTTTACTATTTGAATATATCATAACCGAAATGATAGTGCTGCATCTTATACCTTGACAATAAGTTATGTCTGTAAATTAGCCTTATCTCTCATCTGAGCCTTTGTAGTATCTTCTCTGACCAACACAAAGGAAAATAAGCAAAAATATCACAAGCAGAAACATTCTTCTGAGCTCAACCAGAGACAAAAAGACAGAAATGTTTTAGCATGTGACAATACATATGGTAGTGATAAAAATGGAAACAGACACTCTCCCTATAAATATTGTCCCTACCTTCTTCTGCATTCTCCAACCATTCAATAAACTTCTTCATTTGATCCAGGAATACACTCTTTCCCTTGTTAGAATGATGTGTTTTATACCAACGTACAATGTTCTCCTCATTTAATACATCAGCTGTTATGATTACAAAAATATACTGTAAAAATCTAAACAATATCTTATATTCAAAAACTTCCATGAAGTTAATAAATCAATATTAGTTTGGGCAAAGTCTTTAGGGTTAGTCCATGTCCTTTCATCCTAAAGTGCAGTGATTCATATTAATAATAAAATATAATTAAAAGGAACAATCTTATAAATCTTTTTTTTAAATATTTGTGGAATCGTACCCAAATTCGAATGTATCCAAGACCTAACAGATATAATCCTCATCACAAGATTTCATAAAAATCTATGACCTCTATCTCAATCAAGAGCCAATATATTGACAGCAATATATGAAAATAAATAATAGTTATAAACTTACTCTTGTACAGTAGTACTATAATCTTCATAAAAACCTTCATGAAATGGATATTTTCATAGCAATACTCCTGAATACGTAGAATCAATAACTGTTCAGCTTTATCAGACTGAGTCATGGTTTTCAACAACAAAACATAATTACGAAGATGTTTCAAGGCCTGTTCTGCCACGAGATCTTCTTTCTTATTCCATTCAATACCAGACATCAGAGTATTCCAGATCTATTATACATAGACAGGTACAATTAATAAAGATAGCTTTACAGAAAAAGAAATTAGAAAGAAATTAATTAACAATCACAGGCTTTATTCTGGAAAACTTAACTTTAGATAATCTAAAGGGATTATAAAGAGATTTTTTAAACTCTATAATCCGAAGGTATTATCTCGACGTGTGCCAGGATTGAACCCTTGACCTTCAGCGAAAATAAACTGAGCCAGTTAACATCACCAATGTTCGTGGTAATAAAATATCTGAGTAGTCTATAACTCACCAAGACAATAATGTCACTGTCCTGAAATCCATTCTTTTCCATTTCTTCTTTAACATACAACACCATCTATAATAGAGTGCAACATATAGTACCATCTATAATAGAGTGTAACATATAGTACCATCTATAATAGAGTGTAACATATAGTACCATCTATAATAGAGTGTAACATCTATAATAGAGTGTAACATATAGTACCATCTATAATAGAGTGTAACATATAGTACCATCTATAATAGAGTGTAACATATAGTACCATCTATAATAGAGTGTAACATATAGTACCATCTATAATAGAGTGTAACATATAGTACCATCTATAATAGAGTGTAACATATAGTACCATCTATAATAGAGTGTAACATATAGTACCATCTATAATAGAGTGTAACATATAGTACCATCTATAATAGAGTGTAACATATAGTACCATCTATAATAGAGTGTAACATATAGTACCATCTATAATAGAGTGTAACATATAGTACCATCTATAATAGAGTGTAACATATAGTACCATCTATAATAGAGTGTAACATATAGTACCATCTATAATAGAGTGTAACATATAGTACCATCTATAATAGAGTGTAACATATAGTACCATCTATAAAAGAGTGTAACATATAGTACCATCTATAAAAGAGTGTAACATATAGTACCATCTATAATAGAGTGTAACATATAGTACCATCTATAATAGATCATAACATATAGTACCATCTATAATAGATCATAACATAAGGCGATAAAATTTATCAATAATGCACTTTGACTAAAACCATAGCCAGATTTTCAATGACAGCAAATCTTTTGCTGCTGGTTCACACATTTGCGATAAAAAAATCAATTAATACGGTAACATTTCATGGATGGGTGTTGATTAATTTTTTTTTTTTTTTACCACATCAACAACTCTCACTTTTTTCTAAAAGATTTGCTTAGAGGTTTTCTGAACTCTTATTGATGTATATAGACTATATTACATATTACATCAATATTTGTGGTTCTTGTCTGATTATTCCCTTTCATAAATTAAGATATGTAAATCACAGTAAAAATCCTCAAATTAAATGAAATATTTCAAATCACCAACCTCTGCTGCAGATTCTTCATCTTTTAACATATTAGCTAATTCTTTTTTAACTTCCTGTTTCACTTCAGTATCCAACTGTTTATTCTATAAAAAGAAACACACTATAAAATATAGACATTTTAATTATGAGAGAATTGAAGGCTCAGATATGATGGGGGAGGAAAAATGAAATCTGTCGTCTGCCCCTTAGCTTTGAAAGACATTTATTTTGTCCAATCTTACCTGAAATTCTGCAATAGCTCCTAATCCCTGCTCACGGAAATAAGCCGTGAATTTTTCTTGACTTCTTTTGTTTATTGGAAACAATTCCTGTAAAATAAAAACAAATGAAGATGTTTAGAATTCAGTACCAACAACCACATCATTTCAACAAATAGCCATCTTGGTTCATTAAAATCAAGTCACAAGTGTCCTCTTTTGCTAATTATTAGATAAATTTACAACCTCCAAGTTCAGAAATATTCTCATCCCTCTATCAAAACTATTTCTAGATGTTTAAATGTGATTTGAAACTTAGTAGAGATATCACATCCATTCGAAGAGATTCAAATTGGCTGTGAACTACGTTCGTGGTTATTTCAATGTAAGAACCATACATAGTTTCATGTCCATGCATGGATCATAATCTATGATCTCAAAGGCAAGTGTCCACTGGCCTCCTTTCTGTCAGGACACTAGAAATGGAAGATTCACGCATAAAAAGTGAAAAGATAAAGTGAAAGTAAACTGACCATTAATCGTGTATCAATTTGACATCTTCTCAATGTACTGGTCAGATGAGCAATGTCCTTTTCGGCTATCCATGTCTTAAACATCAGGGTGGTAAATTCCAATGATAACCCTGAAATCCAGAAAATCAATAAATCATCATATTATGAAATACTTACTACTTTATGATTGATATACTTCCTAAGGTGAATAGCGCAGTCGTTGCTACCAATAATTCGCCAATATGTTGTTAGGATTTTGTTATGGATCGTTAGTACTTGGAATTAAAATACAATAAAACCAAAATGGACAATATCTATGTAGACATGAAAAAATATGCATTTAAATGATTATAGAAGGAAATCAATGACACATTTTATGGTATTTTCGATATAAGTCAACACATACCTTCTTTAGCCAAATGTTCCTCATACAGTCCGTCCAATATTTTAGCTGAACAGAGTGAGTTGGCCAGGATAAGGCCAGTAGTGATGGCCAGCTTTCGCCTCTCATCTTCCTTAAAACTCTTTAAAAATACCAATAACTGAAACAATAAATAAACATTATAGACTAGATAGACACTCGACAACAGATTCTGAGCTGACAAACACTATACTGACAAATAAAAATTAAATTGGGTGGAAGGGAAAGGATGCTCAGCTTATGAAACTGATAAAACACCAAATTCACAGCATTGGTATACTTTGAAAAAGATGCTGAGCTAATAATTTCAAAATACCCAAAAAACTGAAATGAAAAACGCAGTACTAGGTGGACTCTTGACAAACTTATGCTTGATGTAGGCATCTTCATGGCCTTGTTTAGTTAAGATGTAAAACTATATATAATAGGGGTTGTAATGGAGTCACTTACTTTTCTGAGATCTTCTTCAAATGCCCTCTCCAAAAATTTATATCTTCTTAGAAGTTTATACAAAACCTAGAGAGGATCAGAAGAAATTATAAAGAACATGGAAAACCATAGTAAATATATAATAAGATCACAATTAGGATTTCTAGTCTTTCTAGACCCATACCCATTGCAATCACCAGTTACATATGGTTGCAAATAAGAACAGCAGTCACAAGTTTCGAACACAACTCTCATGACCACTTTCATTATTCTCAACCATATGCAACTAGTGATCGCTATGGTGAGAGAGAGGTCATAATCCAGTCTTGAATGTCAAGAATTACAGACACCAGACTGAATATCTGATTAATTTCACTAGGAGATATAAGGTTCTAGATACACATACAAATACTACAAAATCGCAACTGTGCAAATAGAAGCTATAATTGTTCCTGATACACATACATTAGTTAAAAAAATTGAGATTTATTAAATTATAAAACATGTATAATGAACACTTGGCCACGTATTCTCAAAATGATCTTAGCGCAAGGATGTCCTAGAATCAATATTAGAAGATAAGAACATAGGGCATCCTAGCGTTAAGATCATTCCGAAAATACGTGGCCAGGATTTTTACAAATATCAAACTTGAGGCAAAGATTAAACACCAAATGTTGATAACTGACAAGTCCTCTCCTTATCTAGCATTTAATCAAATCCTACCTCATAAAATTCTCTTAGTTTGTCAACTGTTTCTTCAGCTTTAAAAACACAAACATCAGTTTGGTATGTTTTTTTATCTCCATCCGTTTCTTGAATTAATGATCCCCCTGGAGCTATAAATAAACAAAAATATCAAATTTACATGTCTACACAACAATTACCCTTGTGATTTTATTTTTCTAAATGGGGCTTTTTACATTAACCTCTGGTTTTTCAAGTTGTTGTCCTCAATTTGGCTTTATTACAAACACTAAGAGGATTTGTAGAACTTTCACTGTGGATCGGTCGATTTATCTAATCTAATAATTGCTGAAAGTCAAAGATTACTACTCACCCAAGTGTCCACCAGCAAAGAGGACATTAAAAAGAACATCCGCATAACGTCTATAGTCCAATCGTGCTCCTGCCGAGTCCAGGAATTTGGACACCTGAAAATAAAAAAAATTGTAAAGTTCCTGGTAATTTTTTATCTGCATCAAGACAAATCATGGGTCAAGTTACGTAGAAACTCAAACTAAAGATAAAAACGACAGAACTGATATACTTGGTTATTGTTATTTCAAATTAATAATTTCTATATGGTACTATTTTTATGTACCTGAAGTTTTTCTGGAACAATTGGCATATAGCTGAAAACTTCTCATTGAATATTTATGAAAAAAGAGAAAAAGAAAATTAAATTTTGAGCTCAGTGTGGTCAGAGACTGGAATTATGTATCGCAATCTTACTTGTTCTAAATCCGAGCCAGATTCTGTGAGTCCTTCAATAAGTGAATCTCGAAAACCAATAGGATCGTATTTTTCTTTCTCATCTGCAAAAAATATAAGAATTTGATAAAAAAAAAATTCTCATTGAAATGTAAAAAAGGCTCAAAATAACTGCAAGATAATGTTTTGTTTCCATTGAACACAAAACTATAGGTTTTATTTGACACCATTTAATTTAATCCGTCTGTGAGCTGTGAATAATTTTCATAAGTAACTTTAACACATCAAGGTTAAAGACATATTTTAACATGACACATAATGGATTTATAATTTAATCTACAGCTAAAAAATTGAAAAATGTAATTCAGACATCACAGTAAACGTGGAAACTGTATGCAGTCGGTCAAACCCTATAAAAACTCAAACATGTAAAAAATATAAATGAACTTTACCCCTCTTCCTGGTCTTGAGTCGCTGGCCAGATAGCGATGGTTTTTCTGCCTTCTGACTCATACAAATTTCTGAAATAAAAATCAAGTTTAAGATTAAGTCTATCTTACCTAAGTTTTTTAAATGCGCCCTCATAGGCATAAATTCAAAGTATTTGAGCTACGAATACATTATGTAATACTCAAAGTTTTAAAAAAAATAAAAAATATTTCCAACAGCTGCGAGAGCGTGTATGTTACCTTGTTTGGCAAGCCATCTTTGTTCTTATATATTGTAAGCGATAATGATGTCTATAAACGATTTTGTGGAATTGCAAAAACCATAGACATCTGAGTGAAAATTAGAAAATTAGTGTCTCCAATACTCTTGAGAAATTAAGAACACTTCTTAACAATTTTTCGGCAAACAAGAAGTAAATAAAATATTAAAGGTCTATGTGGAAAAGGAAAGAAGTTTTTAAAGTACAATATTTAATGTAATTGCCCAATGCATCACCATGATGAATGGCCTCTCATTCGATTGAAGCAATGTTGGTGAATCATGCTTTCTTGAAAAAACAAACCACACAAACACGTGATAATAAAAGTATTCAGTCTTAGTTTTCTAACTCAAACTTAAGTCAAAAAGTTTCAGAAACTCAACAGGGATATATAACACTAAAAATTTGGACATTTACCGTGTTTTTACTTGGGATTTGTCGTCGCAAAATCCTTCACAGAAATAAAATGCTTTCCTTTCTTTTCAACAGGAAATTGATTTATCTCGTATTTTCTCGCAGGTGTTCGTGAAGGGACGAGACTTCAACCAACATGGCGCTGTCCATGTTACGCTTCACGAGAGTCAAACTTGTGACTCAAGTTACACAAGTAAGAAATTAAGAGCGCATCTTAATGTCAGAATATTTGCTTTTGAAAATTTCATAATTAAGCATACAGAGTTTGACTTATTAACCATGATTTGGACTTTTGCAGTAATATCATCTCAAGTGTTTTACCAAGATTTAATAAAGTTGACGTTGGCTAATCATAGACACCTTTATTTTTGTAACTTGGATTACATTTCCCCTAACCAAATGTCCCAAAGTCAAAATGGCCCTAAAAGTCAATATATCCCTAAACATTTGTCTAAATAGTCCCGATGTTTCAGTCGCATTGCCTCACAGAATGCCATCATATTTGTATTTCATTTTCTAGAAAGGCGAGTTACCATGGGTTTTACCATTATTAAAAAATGTTCCCAAAATCAACGAGAACCAACAAGCTGGTTATCCGACGGGAAAACATTACAATCCCTTATATAGAAGGGAGAGAAGAGAAAAAATGTTTACAGTAAGTGAAATGACTCGCAATTTTTCTGTTGTGAGCAGTTTTACTACTTGATAACTTTGACAGTGCATTCAAACTAACCCCACTTACATCTAGGTCCATTAAAACTGCCTCTGAAAGCCCACTAACTGGTACACTTGAAACTACAACACAGCGTTTCTTTCGGTCATGGTTACTCTCCTGAAATACCTGTAGGACAGATGTCAATCTCTCCTTTCCAGTGAAATGTTTGACAAATTGGCCATGAGACTCATGGATTTCTCAACCCAGTTTCCCCTGTTGTAGGGCATATGGGGCTGACATGGAAAAAGCGTCCAGTTGTTTGGATGGGACAGGCTGTGAATGTTGAATATCCCTCGACAGCCAGAAATCGAAAAAGAGCAGGCTAATGCCGCTACCCTGGCATTGCCCATCTTCATTTCCCCTTAAGGTGCACGAAAGTAGGATGTAAAACTCATTCATTTAATTTTGATAAAAAATTAGGAGATCAATGATTCGGGTATGCCATCAGAGAAAGAAATGAAAAATATGCCGTATGATGAGCTGAGAAAGATCCAGAAAAAATTTGGAATCAAAAAGGTCAATCCGTATGATAAAAACATTAGTATGACATGCACTCGTAAGTTACTGGTTCTTTCTTTTCTTTAATGTAATGTGGATATATAATGCTCAGCTGTTGCCCCTATCTACAATCTGTCTGTCCACATTAGACCTTAATCGCGCGTCTGCCATATGGAATCCAGAACGAGGCTCATAACGTACGCTTAAGTAACATTGTGTTACTGCAGTAAAATGGCCACCTTGACATATTTAAAGCCTCTTTCTCCAATCCCACTAGCACGAAACTATTTATATTTTAAATCATTAAAAGAGTTGATTAAGCTATTTAATGATGCATTCAGATGAACTTTACCTTCATGCATTTGTGAGAAAGGGCAATCTTAAACCCATTATTTGATGTCACATAGGCTATTTCTTCATATAACATCGCAAAGAGAATTACAAATGCATGTAGATTCTGAAAAGACTGCAATAGTACAATACTTACAAATGATACAAAATATATATAACACATAATGTAATTGTATCAGAGAGTTAATGGAATGGGTTATGTATGAGGAAAGTTTAAATTTAATAGAAAATCGGTTGATAACCATGTAATTTGATATTTTTTAGTTGAGGTGGTGGAAAAATATAAACCACCGGAAGGAGATGGAAAATCCTCTCTCTTATCTGCTCAGGTAGGTCGAAATATAAATATAAAAAGTAAGAAAATAACTACAAGATTGTAGCCATGTTGGTCAGATGTTTGTCCCCAATTGCTACCTTGACCAGCTGCAAAATCTTATTTTCAAGATGTGGCATTGATTTGCAGATTTTGATTTTGGCTAATCATATGAAATAGTGGATCCCAAAAGGTGTCATTTTGAGTCCTTTACTGCGATGCAATACCGTTTATATTAAACCCTGCCCCACCTCACACTTTATGTCATGTGTTTTTTACAGAGAGCTAAAGATGAGTTAAATGATGTCAAAGGAAAAAGTCAATCTTTGTTAGCTGTTAGAAAAATCAAGAAATATGAAGAATTTGATTCTAAATCTTTTGCTTCATTTGCCCAGGAAATTTACATTCAAGCTTACAGTCTGTTACAAGAGTATGTATAATATACTTCATTATTTAAGAATTTAGCGGTGAATCCATATGTGTCAATGGTCAATACAGCATATTATCCCAAACATCTGCCTCTATTCCAGCCTCATTATTGTGAAAGTTGTTGGCTGGAGTAGGGTCAGAAAAAATAGGTCCTTGTTTATGGGTATTTTCTGCACTTCCGAAAGTGCTGGTTCTCTTAGGTTAATCTATTTACCTTGAATTCACCAAACCTGGATGATACTTGGGCATCATCTCTACTTTCGTTTTGTTAGTATCACATGACCACGTGACCTTTGATCCTTGGATGCATAGTTTAGTTATAAAAAAAACTCTAATATTACTACAGGTATGACATAAATGGTGTAGGGATAATGATGATATTGAATCGATTGAATTAAAAAAATATATCCATCATTCCGAATATGTACGAATATTTTTTGGAAGTGCAGAAAGCTGACAACTGTCAAAATATCTATCAGAGTCTGGAATAGAGGCAGATGTTTAGGATAAAAGAACATTCTGAAGAGATGTATTGCCAAAACTATTCACAAAGTAAAAGTTGAAAACAAGACGTTAACGTCATTTTTCCACCCTACATGTTAACAAAATACGGCTCTTAAAATTATAAAGTTAACCTTCTTATAACAAAGTAGAGAAATTAATATTTTATTTGTCAAACTTTATTTTATAACAATGTAAACATTTGTCTATTCCAGTGTAAAACATAACAAAAAACGGCTGCTAGAACTTGTGACAGAAAAGGCATATCCAGTAAGTAATTTTAACACTCGTACATGGCTGGCTGAAATTAAGTGCCGATAAGAATCTTTAAATCTACATCTGATTTGACGAATAATACCAGCAACACCCTGCTTTGTGCAAAATTGAAAAAGGACAGCTAATTTATTCTTACTCTTTTGTTTAAAAATTTGTAGTAAAAAGGAGTTGTTTTTTCTTTAAAACAGTATTGTTTAAGAGTTTTTACATAAAAATTGTTTGAAATTAGGATCTGCAAACAACCATGTGTTTAATTATTTTACTTTATTTGTTTTTTTTATCAGTATATAAGTTAGAAGTTTTATGTATTAATTGTTCTAAAGCTAGTATCTGAAAGTGTCTCTCTGTAATTTATGTGGCTTCTGTTTATTTATTTCTAGGAAATTACCACAGGTTTACTATATAAAACGTTACATTGGGAGTTTATGGAAACAGTACAACCACCGAAAGTAGTTTTAGTTCGTGTCATGGAAATTCCACAGTTTGGTGAATTCGCCCAAATTACTGTCAGATTCCATACTAAACAGGTAGATCTTATTATCTCCCTTTATTTACGTGTATCTAGTATAGTAATAAAGATAAGCCTCTCTATCACCTGCACGATTTCTGCCAAATTTGGCTCGCATGAATGTTTAAAACATAGGCTGCTAACAATGCATAACCTATGCATTGTGTATAGTCAGTTGCATATGTGATTTCAATTCGTGAACAGGCCCCAAATGCTCTGATATGCAGGCTTTGCCACGACCAATTGTGTGGCATTGTGGGGACGAATATTGTGCATATCAGGAGTGGCTATAGTGAGGCACATTGTTGGCATTTATGATAACTTAAACAGAAACAGTGTACTCTATATTGAGGTAGTGTAGGTGAGGTGGCTAAGAATGTAACATTGACCTGTGACCTTTCTTTCATTTTGAAAGTGTCAAGTTAGTAAGATGTTTTGTGGTATTTTTAGTGAACTTAATTTCCATTTCGCTAGTACATGTAATTAATAACTTTATTTTGCGTTTTTAATTCAGAAACTAGCGTTATATGATAGATTTGGTACACTTTTATTTAAAATGTTATTTTGTGTTTTATTACAGAAACTAGCGTTATATGATAGATTTGGTACACTTTTATTTAAAATGTTATTTTGTGTTTTATTACAGAAACTAGCGTTATATGATAGATTTGGTACACTTTTATTTAAAATGTTATTTTGTGTTTTATTACAGAAACTAGCGTTATATGATAGATTTGGTACACTTTTATTTAAAATGTTATTTTGTGTTTTATTACAGAAACTAGCGTTATATGATAGATTTGGTAGATTAATGTTCGGAAGTGATGAATTGACTAAAGATGTATTAGAATATATCGTGTTTGAGAAACATATTGTGAATTTATATGGACTGTGGAGAATTCATGGAAAGATTCCTCTAGAAATGGAAGACAGTAACTTCCCTATTGTGAACACGGGGAAGAAACCTGCTGAGGATGTGTTAGAAGAGGAATCAGAGCTTGAAGAATCAACAACTTGAAATTAGTCTGAATATTATAGCTCGCTGTTTTGGTTATTGTTTGAGGTGAAAACTTGAATTTTGAACCCAATTTCTGATAAATGTGGAGCCTCTGACAAAACTGTGAAAGAATCAAAGTAAAATATGTGTGTGAAAAATGAATGTTATATCTTATAGATGACTATTCATGTGCTGATATGTGAATTTTTTAAGAGTACCCTAAACTATTGTGAACAGTGGCGGCGCCCTTAAAGAGAAAGGGGACAGACTGACTTAATGGGGGGACAACCGCCAATGATGAGATACGAACTGTGGCAGCAAGCAGCAGTCTCCAACTGAGAATTTGAAGAATTGAATTGACTAGGTGCCCTCTTACACATATTTTGGGGTCATGTTACATGTATTGTATATGATATATATAAAGAAGTAATTATAATAGAAGAAATAAAAGATACAAACTACAAACTGTCTTATTACTTTTGTTGGTAAACTGAGTTTTAACAATGATTTTCATAAGAATACATATCAACTTCAAAATAGTGGTTTGTGCGGGGGCAGACGGGAGTATTTCATCGGCAAATCGCGGCAAATTTTAAAATCGCTCATATGGCTGCTCATGTCGACGAGTATTAGAAATTGAATGCACCTTTTGTTCGGGTCAAATCCCAGCGCTGGAAAGGGTAGGAATTTGATTGGCTAGCTGTGTTATCAAGCTGACGAATGTTCAAGAAGGCCGTCGTTAGACACTAAATGAAGTAGCTATATGAACAAAAAAACTAATTAAAAATTGGAACAAAAGTGTGGTCTAGACTGCAGAATTCTCATATAAAACCGAATACCCTTATAAACAGGATTGCCCTTTAAAACATTACTTTTACAATGACATAAAAACAAAACAATCTCTAATAATGTCAACAAAAATATTACATCTGTGTGAAATACAATTCTTCTTTTTTTTAAGCTGCCAGATAGCTAAATCCTTCTACTTTCGTAGGCGAACCAGCAATTTGAATTAAAACCATAGCCTATTTAGAAAGGTCAATGCAATTATAGACTAGAGGTTAGTTTATAGTCGACCATTATCTTATTATTTACAGGCCATATTTTCGTAAGCAATTGACCAGTGGGACAACTCAGTCGGAAACTAGTTGGACTTTCACCAGGTTGGGACGTAGTGTCCGGGGTTACTAATCAGCATCAAGGTAAGGGACATTTCTGATGCCACTATCAGTGTATTTGGGAGCAGATCCATTTTGATTAATAAATCCACCCCTCATCCAGGCAAATATATGCGTGTGAAAGGTATGGTTTTAAATATTTACTTGATTGCAGAACGGGCGAATGAAAACGGGTAACATTACACAATTAAATAACTAATTGGAGGATCTGGACTGAAAACAAAAACACAAGGGCAATAACCCGAAACTGAAATCTTTGACAGTCGGCTTTTCTATGTAATTGTATTTAATTGTGGAAGAACTGTACGGCATATTTGTATTTTGAACAGTGACACTGATAGATATAATCGATAGCTTAAACAATTATTTCGGCTTCACTACATGCCTGTATTATTCACGGGGACCCATCTTTAAACAGTTCATAGTTTCACTTCTGTATAGGCTTACTGTAGTACGAATATTCTATTATTATTATTATTACTGTTCATTGAGGCAGATCGTATATATATATATACTCCTACTCTTACTGGCTATATACTTCGTTTACTACTTGTATATCAACTCATAGGCTATCTACTGTTATTATACTGTTATGATCACCAAACTTTTATTATCGTTATGCACCCTTTCTGGTAAGTTATAATTTTGTTTTGATGGTGTTCAGGGGCTATTTTTTGTAAGGGAGGGTGGGGATTGTATGTCGACTTTTAGTGTTAATTTTTGGAACACTTGGTTTAACACTTTATATATAGGCCAATAGATGTAATATCAAAGAATATCCAATCCACTATTATTAGATTGTTACTATCGCCAAACATTTCTTATCGTTATGGACCCTTTCTGGTGACTTTTAATTTTTCGAATGGTGGCCAGGGGCTATTTTTGGGTATTAGTTGGGTATAGGAGGGTGGGGATTTTGTATCCTTATATCTACAAGGCTACACTTTTAACACTAACTTTTGTAGCGTTATATTTATTTTAATATACTAATAACATGTTTGGTGTAAATGTTCCCATATTTGTATGAAATGTAATCAAAACTATGTGTCTTTTTGTATCAAATAGTTAGGTGAGGTGCCTTCACATCATAGTGATTTTAAATTGTATATGGTTGAGAATTATAAAACTGATCATGAGTTCCGAACGCAACTCACAACTCAGTTGGTGATTGCTATAGTGTGAGAGCCACTTTAACTTAAATATTGAAATAAGACTCCTGTTTCATGTTATACTTAATGTACAGAATATAATATATTATCACAGTTTTTGTTTATGGTAATTTCTGTTTAATCTTTCTTAAAACTTATATAAATATATAAATATACTGATAAACTGGTTTTGATAAGACTTAAAAATCTACCCAGGCAGAAAATATTATATAAAGAGTAGAAAGAGTATAAAGATTTATGAACATATGTTACATGTTTCCCACAATTGAAATTAATATTACATGTATATATTCATACTATTTGTATATTAAATAGTATATATTATATATCACTTATATATGATTCGATATTTTATAGCAGTACTGTGTTATAAATAAGTTATAAATATTTATAGGCCAATTTAACTCTTAGAAAATTAAACGAGTTTTATGTCTTACTTTTCTACATTTGATTGAGTCAATAAAAACGGAAACGTCTTGCAGTGTGCAGTGAGGGGAATTTTGCCAGTACGGTGGCATTGGTCTACACTTATTCGATTTCCATGTGTCAAGGGATCTTTAACGTGAGCAGTAAAAAGGGTTTCCGACACCGTTCTTATAAAACAAAATTATTGCTTCATTATACGAGATATCATTTCTAACATTTTAGTTGCGAAATGCTGAAGTGAAAATACTAAACTCAAGTACTCATTGTCTAGATCTCAAGGGGAAAATTTCAACCAGGAAGGGTAGAAATTGAAGATCTGAGGCACCGGTCTAGATCCTTACCGACATTTTATGTAATGATTCGCATAGGACCCACTATACACCAATTCCGAAGGGCCGGAGATACTGACTTAATCAACAAGCAAAATGTCTAAATGACTGCGTGGTTGTCAAGAAAAGAAGAAATCATGCATCATGCGTGAATGTCAACTTCTAATAAGTTCTGTTGAAAACCGAAATTATATTCCGGGTAATTTTCCGTATCCATACCCCTGAATATAAGGTTTTACCAGTGGTACCAATTCGATAATCTCATACCAGACTATGAACAGATAGTCATATTATATGACTACCGTATATATTTTAATATTTAGGTTTCAGGTATCCACTCTATGATAATTTCTTTAGAAAATCCCCTCTTTGCTCAATGAATTGTTAATCAATGACAATAAGACTTGAGTTGACATTTCGTTGTGGGATTTTAATATTACTTATTAGTTTAGATTATGTGATTTGATATTTACATAATATGATTAATATTTCAGAGAAAAATATCTCAGCGTTTTTAATATCTAATTGCTCGAGTTGTATATTATATGTAGGAGTTAATTAACTATCTTCATAATACAATAATTACCTAATTAATTTAATGAGATAAACAATGCTTAGTTGAGTCCACAACAATAATAAAACTAATGTTCATTTGTGTTTTCCATGCGATGTAGAAGCTAAAAATCAGTGGACCTAAAGTGAGGGCATGCACCAAGTAAGCAGGGGCGTATCTAGAAAAGGTCAAAAGTGAAGGGTGTCTGAGGTTTGCCAGAGCCACACGCTACTGCAAATAACTCATACATTTTGTGTGTAAAAATGCAATGATGAAAAATCTGCATGTTTCTGAGAAAGGTATTACAAAAAGAAAGTGGTGAAACAGGTATTACTACCTCTTTTGACATTAATAAAACCAAATTAGCGGTTTCATTTCGGTAAAAGAATATTGAATTATTTCCCTTTAAAAGTCTGTAATATAATTACGACTTCCCTTTAAATGCTGTAAAATAATTAAGGGAATATAGACCTTTAACATTTTTCATATAATTACGGGATGATGTCCCTTAACAACTTGTGTGTTGCACTGATCACGTTTTTGAAGGAATGTTTTTACCATCCTCTAATAAGTCTATACAGTGTTTATTAATTAACTAGCACGAGTTCGTGTATCTAACACACTGAATAATCTCTCAGTGGTTGCAACTCATTAATTCTAAAAGGATTAAATTCTTCCAAGATGTGTTGGCCTATTGCGTGTCTGAACCTAGGACAATGTGATTAAAATGCAGGATGGCTTGTTCTGTTGTTTTATTGTTTTGTTCTAAGGGTGAATTTGACATCCACGATCTTACAACTTTTTATCCGCAGTAACTACAAGTTAAAGCAGTAAGATTTAGTTGAATTGTACGCGAAATGAGCTTAGGATTTAGATTCTGAAGTGATACGGGTTGAAGAAATTAAGCTTAATCAGCTATAGTATCAATTTCGAGGACCTTTCAATCCTATATTTGGACATGTTTCAAAACCATCATTACCATCTGACGCGTGCTTACTGTTTTTATTGATGCTGAATTGTATGCAAACTAGACGTCGTATTTAATTATGAAAAGTGACAGAGGCTTCTGTCTATCAGCTGGTAAAACATAGTTTTAGGTAGCCGTATTCCTTTAACATCTGACACTAACAATTCTTTTGAAAACCACATACCATCTGGTGAGTGCAGATTGTTTTTATTGATGTTGAATCGTACACGATAGAGGTTTCTTAAATTGAGATCAATTGACTCTACATTGAAATTGAGCTCTATCAGCTGGTAAAGTAAATATTTAGATGTCTATACAGATAGCTGAAATTGAGCTCTATCAGCTGGTAAAGTAAATATTTAGATGACTGTACAGATAGCTGAAATTGAGCTCTATCAGCTGGTAAAATAAATATTTAGATGACTGTACAGATAGCTGAAAGTGAGCTCTATCAGCTGGTAAAGTAAATATTTAGATGACTGTACAGATAGCTGAAATTGAGCTCTATCAGCTGGTAAAGTAAATATTTAGATGACTGTACAGATAGCTGAAATTGAGCTCTATCAGCTGGTAAAGTAAATATTTAGATGACTGTACAGATAGCTGAAATTGAGCTCTATCAGCTGGTAAAGTAAATATTTAGATGACTGTACAGATAGCTGAAATTGAGCTCTATCAGCTGGTAAAGTAAATATTTAGATGACTGTACAGATAGCTGGAGTTGAGCTCTATCAGCTGGTAAAGTAAATAGATGACTGTACAAATAGCTGAAATTGAGCTGGTACAGCGAATATAATTATAGACAACCTTACCCTTT